TCTTCATAGATGGAAGGGTCTTAAGGTGCTTTACCAAAATTGTGAATTTCTTGACCCTGGGGTCTCATGTTTCCCCCTGGGGAGGGGGTAAACTTTACTATAGTTTATATAGGGAAATCACATTTTGAACCAACATTTGTTTAATTCCATTGGAAGTAATTCAATTTGGGTTAGCATTATCAGTATTAGGTAGCAGTTTGATAATAAGCACCTATGAGCCCTGACTGACCCCCAGGGGCTGATGGGTGGTAAGATTTGATTCCACTGTTTCAGCCTTTTCATGTAGAATTTTTTGTCCATCATTGATAATGATTACTGAACATTTTATGGTTTTGTCATTTTGCCTTCAAGTAAGTCTTTACCATGTTATAAGTCAGGTTTTACAGACACTTCATCAACACTGACATGTCAACACCTCCACTTTAACATCTCATCAAAATCTGTATAACAGTCTCATTGACATCTGTCAACACCCCCATTGACATGTCAACAACCTCCTATTGACATCTGTCAACACTCTCCCATTGATGTCTCTGTCAACACCCTCCCATTGACATCTCTGTCAATACCCTCCCATTGACGTCTGTCAACACCCTACCATTGACGTCTGTCAACACCCTCCCATTGACTTCTGTCAACCCCCCCCCATTTACGCCTGTCAACACCCTTCCATTGACGTCTGTCAACACCGTACCATTGACGTCTGTCAACTCCCTACCATTGACGTCTGTCAACCCCCCCCCATTGCCGTCTGTCAACACCCTACCATTGACTTCTGTCAACACCCTCCCATTGAGGTCTCTGTCAACACCCTCCCATTGACGTCTCTGTCAACACCCTCCCATTGATGTCTCTGTCAACACCCTACCATTGACTTCTGTCAATACCCTCCCATTGACGTCTGTCAATACCGTCCCATTGACGTCTGTCAACACCCTACCATTGACTTCTGTCAACACCCTCCCATTGACGTCTCTGTCAACACCCTCTCATTTATGTCTCTGTCAACACCCTCCCATTGACTTCTGTCAACACCCTCCTATTGATGTATCTATCAACACCCTCCCATTGACATCTGTCAACACCCTACCATTGACTTCTGTCAACACCCTACCATTGACTTCTGTCAACACCCTCCCATTGACTTCTCTGTCAACACCCTCCCATTGACATCTGTCAACACCCTACCTTTGACTTCTCTGTCAACACCCTCCTATTGATTAATAGAATCTTTCACCCCCTTGGGGGCGAGATAGGAGAATCTCAACCAGAGGGGGAGGATTCTTAAGTTGCCAACACGAGCCTGTGCCGAGTGTTTGGCAACTAAAGAATCTTTCCCCGAGGGTTGAGATTCCACTATCTCACCCACAAGGGGATGAATGATTCTTTTTCTCTTACCCTGTTCTTTCATTGTGCATCATATGCACAATGTAATGATAACGTTACATGCTAAGTTCAGGGTTGACGTGACGTTGATGGATTGTTGACGTGACGTCATTGTATTGTTAAAGTGACGTCATGCCATTGTAAGGAATAGGGGAATCCCCCCGTCTCAACTTTAGGGTGAGACAAGGAAATCTCACACCGGTAAAAATGCGGATACACCTGTCCAGGGTAAGAGAAGTATCTATCAACACCCTCCGATTAACGTCTCTGTCAACACCCTCCTGTTGACATCGCTGTCAACACTTTCCCATTGACATCCCTGTCAATGCAGTCCAAGACTAAACAGTCTTGTCAATGTTTTCTTAAGCTTGGTCTCATTGACTGTCAAAGTCAGGTAATATTCACTAGTATCATCATTGTTATAACTTATTCAGATAAAAAAAACAAAGCTAAGTCAGTGTTAACATAATAAAACTTTTTTTTATTGTTTTAACAATATGCAAATATGAGGTTTTTAGTCTCACAATATCTCTTATGTAATTGCTCGTTACAAAGTGTGTACCTCTCTGCCGTTAAACTGCTAGCCACTACACACAAACACCCATAACAACTAGACATGTACTGGCAACTTGCATCAACTCTCCGCAACACTAGCGTACACTAATAAATAATTTAAAGACAGTTAAAAAATTATACAGAGAAAAAAAAATCAATTAAAAGATAAATTCTTTGAGCGACAATGATTGCAAGACTGGAGATGGTGCCATTTATAAATAAGCTATAGTCAGGCAGAAAGAGATTTTTTTCGCATGCCACTTGAAACCACTCCCTGAGGTGTTACAAATAAAAGGCAAGCTTCAGCCACCCAAAAGATAATGTGGCAGAGTAGATGGCTATTCATTCGCTCAAACCACTGCAAGAGGAAACCACTCTCATTTGTTTAGTGTCTTCAGCGACAGAAGCAGATATAACAGTTAACACTCTCACTGTACCAAGCTAATGTCCAATAGAGATCTAGTTTACACAAATATACATATAACAGTATGGAAATCACTCGTTAGTTTTCAGACCCACCATGGTGTACTGGCAGAAGTTGATCAGAAAATTTACACAACTCTTACACATTTCTTGTTAATCAATAATTACGTATCATTTGCACTTATCCATGCTCAGCATTTTGACAAAATTTTGCATAGATTTATAAATACATAGTATCAGTTGTCGAGGGTATTGGAATATTCATACGGGTGATACACCCTTACTATATGTATTTACATTGAAAGCTTGTGATGTAAAGCTGGCAACACTGGTCTTTCAAAACTTCTTTATAATATTAATTTATAATCAATTAGATTTTCAATAACCTTTATGCAATATCAACAAGGACCTTTTAGATATGTAAGTATCTGTACATTCAGTTTATGGCAAACCAACAAATGCTGCAATGACAAACAGTTGAAATGAGCGAACCCATTGAAGTGGGGCGGATACCTGTCTGACACTACCATCAACAGAAACTCCTGGATAAAATGTGATGATGTAAACGATGATAAAATGAATGCATTGATAGGAAACATATTTCATTCTCAAAATTCGTAAAATGTTCATTTGCGCATCAAAGTTTATAGCGGGTGCAAAAAAATTGATAAAAAAATATACAAGAATATGAAATCAATGATTGGTAAATAATAAATGTTCTATTTACTTAAAACTAGCTGTTGTTTTATCAGTACTGACAAGATGACCTCTATATACAGATGAAACACCTATATACATGATGTATGTACAAGTAACTGTTAGTACCGTCCACTGCCATCAACACTCAACTTGTTAATTATTTCACTAATTACATCCAGTATTGCACACTACAACAGACACAATGCTTCCTTTTCTCAACAATAAATTATCTGTTGTATGATTCTGTGTATATCACAAGGATTCAGAAGACAATATATTAATATCAAACATCTTGCTATTTACAACAACAAAAGTTAACACTGGTTTGTCCGATTATATACATTTATCCAGTAGGATAACTTCAGTATTTACTTATATATATACTTACCTAACAAACAAAATTTACCAAAGCTTTCTGAATTATGACAGACAAATGACTATTACAAATGACTAAACTTGGATAAGGCAAGTAGAAGTTTCAAGCTACTTACTTTGTTCCTCAAATGATCAGCTTATATATGAACTAGCTACTGAATGTTGGAGTAGAGCATCTGTATAGACTATTTTACTTAACATGACAGGTAATGCACCAGATTAATTTACCTGAGAAGAACAAAAATGATCAAATCTTAGTGGATGTTGTTCCTCAAGGCCAGCACCAAGTAATAATCAACTTACGTGTATATAATGACATGGTGATCTTACATGTCTTTGTCTCAATGAAATAGCTGAACATAAAACACAAGTTTTCATAATAATGGCAATCCTCTGAGATAACTGTGAAAATAAAAACATTTATTTGCACAATATTAAAATTTATACTACATGCAGATATACAAACTAAAAAAGTACATTAATTTCAAACAATAACCTAGCTGTTTGTATTTCAGTTCACTCAGATTTTAAAATTTTGTGTGGATCTCCGACACTTTCGTCATGTTAATTCCTGATATTGAGCATGGACAGTAATATAATAAAATGTCAAGTAAAAGTTTTGACTATGGCGACATTTTTATTCAGATCTTGTATACTCAGAAGATGACAAAAATTGTACAAGATAATCACTAAAATACCTTACATCAATAACATGTTTGTGCTGCAGTAAATAATTAATGTTTATATTTACAGTTGATTCAGAATTATTATAAGTATGGCAATGTGCTGTCTGAATTACCACTATCTGTATCAGATATTATTTTCATAAAAATAAATCACAAGAGCACCAAGGTTGTTATTTGTAGATTATTTCTGTAGAAAATGTTTTTTCTTTTGAATTATATATATGCAGTATTGAATGGTGACGCAGTTGTAAAAAAACATGTACTCTTTACTGTACTCTTATTGTCTAATTGAAAAAGACTTACTCACTGAAATAACAATTGCATGGATTGAAAATTAACAAATAAACAGGTATAACAACTGACCATATACAGATATACAATTAGTAAAGTTAGCAAAATATTACTTAATAAATTTGGGTGTTAACTACTAACTGTATACATAAACAACAACCAGTCAGAGCTAGGGGCTAAATTGATAGGATAACTCCGATTACTAGACGCTCAGTTACATTAGTGCTTGGCCTGGTAGGTCTGAACGCAGCTCTTTGGACAGTTGATGCGTTGACAGTTATAGCCACGTTTGGCGGTTGTGCGTTGTCCAGTGGTCTTGTTGTGCCTGTCAATGGTGGCTCGTGTAAGGCGGCGAGTCTCCTTGTACTGCTTCGACCTTTGGGAGGATTTAATTGAATCGGTCTGAGCCCTTGCTGCCAGAGCCTGGGGTTTGCGTGGTGACTGCTGCACAACAACACCGTGAGCATTTCTTGGACGGAGGCCACGTTTTTGAATTGTTCTAGAAATATTATCTGTGGAAGACTCGGATAAGTCACTTTCCTCACCTGCACTTCCTCCAGAACAATGACTGTTGTAAACAGACATGCTGGGATGCTCTATGAGGAGATTTTCCATTGGATCCATGCCTACCTGGGAAGATGTGGCGCCGCCTGCAGTAAAACATGGAGGAGGTGTAAGAATCCAACTTTCATGAAAACCAATTTTAGCGTTCAAACAGTATCTGGAATGTCCCACGGGGCTCAAGGAGCCGGGAGTGGATGGAGTTTGGCTTGCCGGGTGGCAATTGGAGGCAGTTTCAGAATCACTGTCACTATATACAGGATTTGCTATTCGCACAAGTCGGCAACATTTTTTATGACCAAGAATTTCAGCTTGTGGCGAAGTTGTAGATTTGCATGCTGTATCTGCAATGAACAATACTGTACTATACAGTAATGCTCAACCAATTTACACCCATACAATCAGATTTACTTTAAACAAAAATAGCACTTTTTTTTTTATTAAATTATCACACAGTGCATTATCCACTTTTTAATATTGAATGGTTTTAATTGCCAACTGTTGATTATCTTTCAGTATTAAAATTCCGAAAAAGAGCTAAACATCTGAGGACATCCTGTATGAAGAATCTGTATAAGTCCTACATTTGTTAATAAGATTGACTGTGTGTAAGCTGTCTTTGTTATCTAAAATAACAGACTGGATATTCCTCTTGTTTAGCTTTTTCTCTGAATTTTAATAATCAATGGTTAAGTATTTAAATTACCCGGTACATCCACGATGACCCAGTCCTGGTCGGGTGCAGGTTTAGTCTCCAGCTCAACTGGTGCAGTCTCCATGTCCTCGGCACTAGAGCCCCCGAACAGATAGCTAGCCACACTTGTCAGCATCTTGCTACCTTGATTATGTAAAAAAAAATCCAATTAGAGATTTAACATATAGAATTATATATAATCATCGAATTTCTTCGAACTACATTATCATTGTTTGCTGGAATCGGTACAAATTGAAACACATCAGCACCACTTCAGTCATATCCTTTTATGATTAAAGGTGGACAAGTTCCTATGTGACATCATTGCTATAAAAGATCACGTATACAGTGAATTTGCAATACGTGATGCAATCAGCAATCCAGGGCAGTAAGAATTATTTATAGGCCTGACCTAGACACAACCATTGTCATAACATTTGAAACATAAAATATATATGAAAATTGCAGACTATAACTGCTACCTTAAGCTTGTGCATAGCTAATCGAGATCGGTTGTCTACAAAACGACTGCCTTTTCACACGCATACAGTACATATGATATGAAACCCCAAGAGCAAAACCCGAATTTGAATCACGTAACGGGTATCAAACTCAACCCCAGGTCGGTCATCATAATTTTGAAATGTGCAATTTTATGGTTTAAATTTAGAAATTGATTTCCATTTGTAAATTTTAAATGAACTAAACCTTTTCGTTGATGGAATTTACCCATAATCAATAGGCATCTGCTAGAGCTAGCGTCAGTGATAATTAGACGCGGACAAGTAGGCTAACGCCCTTTGTTAGACACCACATTCAAATCAACAAAGAAAAACCCTATTCGTCAATCAATTTAAATTCGTCCAAAAGCACGCCCTGGTAAGTTAGGCTAGTTCATCGTGTTGGCACCATTCCCAGTACCTATATTTCAAATTCGTAAAAATCATTAAGCAAAGTCATCACAGTAAGAACTGGTTTGCAGGATTGGCGTAAAAAATGAAGGAATGAAGGTCGATCGCCTGTCACGCATATTCGATCAGAATTCTGCAAAATACCCGTACAGATTTCTTTTAAACTTACCTGACTCTGTACCCGAATAATCTTTCTATCAATTCCGATCACTCTTTATGGAAACTACGACAAATTTCAGTGAAAATCTGTTAATTTTCTGCAGTGTTTTTCTCGAATCAGCTGTTTCCCTCCGTCTGACAGATGAATGCAACGACGCAGTCGTGTTTACGTTTTGATGGCGCTTTTTGATTGGCTGAAGGCGGTCCATATATGGTAATCTAATGAATATTTATGAGATTTTTGTCCCGTATATGGCAACGGATATGCGTGCGCATATATTGATCACGTGCTAATGTTGTGATAATTTGACAGATCCCAGACCCTATGATTCCAGACAAAACTTCGACCAATTTTGTATGGAACTGCGCGAATTACTGCCCGTATTGTCTGTCGTGCTTGTGTTTTTATATTTACAATTAAATATAGTCTCCAAGGTTGAAATTTTCGTCTGCATTATATACCAATTGCAGCGATGATGTAGTCTTGATCAACAGAAGGGTCAGGGAACGAGGTTTATCGTTAGCGTCCGGTGAACACCGGAACAGCTATAAATAAAACAATATCCGAGCAGTGTTATGAAGCAGTTATTTCTTTGCATATAATGTATATATGCAATATAAGAGATATTCATGTTTGGAGGAATAAAGATATGAATGAAAGAAGTTGTTCCTTTGAAATAACCGTACGATGAAGGATGAAAGCAGCTAGGTTTTTAGTCGGACGTTATATAGATATTATTTTTTCTCTAATTATAGCAATATGATCGAATTACTTAAAACATTATATTATAAATGCCCCTTATAATATGATATATATACGTCTCTGGTTATAGTTATATATATATATTGTCGAATCGGGGTCCCCCAGGGGTCAGTCCTCTGTTCGAGTCTGTTTTTGCATTACATAAATGGCATGCGCATTGGTCTCACCTCGGTCAAAACTGTCACCTCTAGTTGGCATGCTACAATCAGAGACGTATATATCTGGGAAAAAAACAATATGTGACGTCATTTTGACTTCCAGATAGTTATCAGTTATTAAATATTTATTTTAGCTTGAAGGAAAATGGGCGTTAATCCTTATAATTTGAAGGCTGTGTATTATAATTATATCCTGATGTCCTTTGTCTGTCGATTACATTTGCTTGAAAACTAGTAGTGTTAGCATAGACGTATAATACATGTATCTGGTGGTAGATACGATCCAGAAGGCATTTTGATGTGTAGTATGGAAATAAATTATGGGAAAAATAAATCAGGTGATTATATCATAAATATATGTTGGTAAAAGACGCCCGAAAGGTGGAATTGAACCACTCCGACGCTAATCGGCTACAGGTTTGAAGCCTGCACTCCAGACCACTGAAGCTCATCCGGGCACTTGTAAACAGTATCGACGCTAGTTATATACCTATCACTATCATGTCTGTTCTGATCGGGGTAACTATTAATTTCCATACAGGACAATTTGAAAAATATAGTTTTAACCAATCAATTATTTAAGTACAAAGATATATATTAATCCAAAAATCTAGTTTTGTTTTTGACATTCTAAAATTAAGGTATTTGAATTACTTATTAACATAAAGGGTAAGATATCAGATTTCATTGTACAAAGGGAATATAGGAATAAATTTGTAAAACTCGAGTTGTCTTTCTTGGTATGTACGTACTCTTGTATATTAGGACATTATTATCAATTATATACGTGCACGCGAAGCTACCTAATTGATCGCTATGGTAATCTTATCATGGTAATCTAGAATGTGATTGGGTCACTTACAGTCGCTTCGACCGTATCACCATACCAACTATATGCCTAAATTTAGGACAAGCTATGACATGTATGATGGCGGAGTTCGTCGACAAATCAATTTCGCATTGTTGTCAAGAAATAAGAATAGCATACAATTTATCGATTTTATTTTTATGGACAAATTACTGATAGGGTCAAATTAGTGCAGCGATGACGCGAGATTTAAGAATGGCGATTACCCCAATATGATCAATCGGCCTTGTAGTTAGGACTCTGTTCAACGTCAAGATGACAACCTACAAGTAATGTAGTGTAAGCTGATATTATTTTCTCAATTAGCAAATTAACATTGGCGGCATAGTCGGAGTCTGTAATGTTTGTGTGCATCAAACTAACTAAATATATATTTTAAAAAATGGAGAAAGTTTAACGACAGAAGTCAGACATCATAATAGTTATAATATAATTATTTGGTAAATATTGAGAGTTATACTTCGGTTACTGCCCTTATGCATGAGCATATCATCGGGGGAAATGTTCAAGATAACTTTGTCTTTAATATATCTGTAATGTATACACGAAAAAAGGTCTTTATGTGATAACCATTTATAGTTACAACTATAAGCACACAACTTCTGTGGCAACAGGCTTTCTGATTTTAACCTAGGACATTATAGTTAAAGCCTGACTTGTTAACGTCATTTATGACGTCAGATGTCTCAACATTACGCAGGATCTTAAATCCACACGTGATCACATCAAATCAAGTATTATACGTGATCACATCAAATCAAGTAATATTAAAACAACGTTACATGTTAACAAATCTCTATTGATTAATATGACGTTGATTTTTATGAAAACATAACCAGTTTGTAACCGAGATACTAATGTATTGCAGTTTGGCTATATAACAGAAAACCCTCACTATTCATATAACGTCATTATTTTAACGTCATTTCATGTTTAATTGGTGACGTTTCGCTTTTTTCGTTGACAATATGTAGTTTTGACATACAATTGTTCAAGAACGTTGTTTTTAGTCATTTTTGACGTCATTTCTATAATTTTGATTCCAATGTGACGTCATACAACGTGAACTTTTCAGAACGAGGCTGTCACATGACTTCTCTGATGTCTTTAATGGGATGTAACGCACTGAACTATGGGAAATGTAATAAAGCATTTTGATTGGTCGAAGCGTATCATTATGTATGACGATTGCCTACGTCAAAAGCAAATTCAGCCTGTCACGTGACCAAGTAGACGCCATCTTGGATTTGGTCGATGCCATTGTACAGACAGGAGGATATGGCCGATATGACCCAACATACACACATTTGGAAATTTGTCTGGCTTTAACTGGTAAGATACGCCTGAGGTATTGATGGATTTCATTTAAGTTATATATGACTTAAAGATGTATCTACATGTGAGGTAGATTGTTATTACCTGAATTATTACACTGATAAAAGAGCTCTAGACGAGAGGAAATGCGCGAATTATGGCGGTAAAACATGATGCATGGTTTATAAAAAATGCTAACTTAAGCTAATATGTTATCCCTTTCATATTTTTCTGATGAACAGTGAAATGTTTAATGTAAAATATATTGTAGAGAAAAACGGATAGGAATTGAAATTGATCTAATTTTGTAGAATGCATCATTTATATTCAATCGAAACTTCCTGTTGTGTCGACTTCGATATACCGGGGTCTATGCGACCTACATAATGCGAATCTTGCTGAATAATGAATGGGAAGACGTACTTACCATACTTGAAATAAATTTGTTGGTGTCTTTCTCTTTATTTTATGTAAAACGAGATGGATATACATGAACATCTACCTTGTTTACATCAACAGCAACACGTGAAAGTGTCCATTGACTATTATAATTTGCTCATTGTCTCCCTTTGTCCGTGATCAATCAATAGGCTTAAGTTACCCGATATCTTGCGCTAGGTAACAAGGCACACATAAGCAGTTCAACAACATTTTTTGAATTAAAAGGGTTTGATCGTGGAGGTAATCGGGTCCAGTACACTGCCGATTGATCTATATAGCTATATACACCTTTAAATTATAGCTGTATTGAGCTATATTTTCTCAGATTTCAAATTTCATTAAATTAAAGCAAAGTCGCATAAAACAATCGGGTTTATGGTAATGTTGACTACAAAGAGCATACAGTTAGATGATTATTTTCATTTTTCATAAATGTAAAATTTCCGATTTTTCTACATCATTATTTTTTAAAAAGAATACTTATGTTTAATGTCTTTTGTTCGAACACACAACTTGAGTACTGAACTTTCGTAATTATTGATCGAGGTTGGCTATCGGCGATGCAATACTAGCCTCGCGAAACTCACTTAAACTTGATCTATTTGCGCATCGACAGCGTTTAACTACTGAATAACAGGTAGTACTCATGTGTGACCATTGTTGTCATCAATGCAGGACAATTTAATTTGTACACAAATAAGTCACATGTCACCGGTAATTGAGTTTTGTTCTTGTAAACATGTGCACGCACCAGGCATACATCTTTAGGCACCGGCCATGTATAATATCCTAACAGTACACGGAGCGCGGAATGTTACCGTCACATCGATGACAGATGTGTGTATTGTCATGATATTACTGTGATTACAATTTGATTATATAATCGCGACCTGGCCACCGATCACTGATTTATAACTTAATTGGTATATTACCTAAACATGTGCCAAAACAAATACATCTAACCAGGTGTTTGATCAAACTATTAATCCGTAACTGCAGTTTCAATCCACCCTCCGCATTCTGATCAGTACAACTGAACTTTTGTCATTACTCGAGAAAACATCTACTGCTTTGCGGCCTGCATACTTGTCTCTGCTTTGCAATTGAACTTAATAATTGCTTATCAATATTTAAGTGAATATAAGAAAGATATATATACAATTATTCATCCCCAGATTTGCAAATATATATCGCAATAAGGCGGTCGTTGTTCCATATCAAAGACTTGACTGCTAGCCGTGAATTTTGCCGATGTCAACTTGAACTACTTTTTATTTAAGCGACTATAATTTCGTGTAATTCAAACAGGATTGACAATATTTATTTAATTTTGTACGAACTGACCGAAGGTTTACCATAGTTATTTCATTACCCCCAGAAGAATCGTCGATCAGTACACGAATACAAGTATAAGGAAAAACCCCAGAAATGTACAAAATGACAGCTGTCTTAGTACAAGTACAAGCTACAATTTAATTACAGTTATTTTCCTGAAATATATTCAACATTACGGTAACTTTGAATATGTACATGGATATTTACCTTCATCGACTATCAAGTCGTGTCAGTGTCATATAGTTATCGGTATCAAAGATTGTCCAATGAAATCATGTCCTGAGTGGTACCCACTAGTGGTTAACCCAAAATGTTTACCAACTACAAGATACAAGAAGCTTTATATAGTGTCGTATATGGCATAACATTGAACATTAGCTCTGTGGAGCTATTTTATGACGAACATAAGTATAAAAACAGAGTAATAACAAGGTAAAAGGCATGCTAGTAGAAAAGGTAGGATTTTGCAGCATAACTACATACATTGAACTACTAAAATAATCAGAAAACAGTTTGATGATCGCACAAGCATGTTAAAAGCAGGAACAGTACTAATTATAACATAAGCATAAATCATAAGCATAAAACATATAAAAAACATATCAGATTTTGTAAGCACATATTTTATATAGATCACAGACTCCTAGCAGGTTTATAAAATGAGTGAGGAAACTACAGTGGTTGTGGGAGAAATCGAGGTTCCCAAATAAATGATGGTTGGTCATCATGTTATCAGTCACTGCTGGCTCACTGGATAAACCTGTTAGGAGTATGTAAATAGTTTTGGTTACCCACTAGTTGATGGCACCATGTACATTATTTCATTGGCTATTATGATGTCATGATGAAGTAACAATGCCTTATGACATCATCTTCTATATGGACATCACAGTTCATGGTAAAAAATTATTCCAAAGAGAAACATGGGTTTCTAGATAAATAGCTGAACTAATTAGAAGGAGGAAAAATCCAAAAACTCTGATTAGACCAAAAAAATATATGTATGTTTCAGGTACCCCAACCGACCATACAGTTTTGACCTCCAACCCTAACAATTTTATCTCGCTCAAACAGACTCAATCCAGTATTGGGATAACTTGCTCATTGAATGCAAACAAGTTAATGGGCGAACAAACAAGGCAAGTTTTGTATGCAGACTCTTCAGTAAGATTCGTCAGTTTGGAAATATGTAATATCAAAGTTTTACTTTATACACAAACATATGTATATACATGTATGTATTAAACGCGTCGCAGCATCTAATATGTACATTGTGTGTCTAAAGTAAAACTTTGATATTATATATATATATACCCTATTCCAGGCAGGTATAAAACCAAATTTAAATCCCATATTAATATTTTAAAAACCTGAAAATATATCAAGTTTGTGTTATTTCTTAAATTATCCCCCTCAAAAATAAGGAAATTTAAAATTTTATTATTAAATCCATTCCACACATTTACCGTCTAAGATTGTCCCAGTTTTTTGTGCAGACATATTTTACTGGGACTGAAGCCATTGTGAAATATATATTTCCATACTAGCATTAATGCACTCATGTACGTACTAAACTGATGAATGTAGGCTGATCATACAGAGCCTTGTATGGCATATTCACATGATCATGATGTGATGGTATCCGATAGCTATAGCTCGACTAACAGTTATACTGTAACAAGCTACGAATGATAAACATCAGTCTGGCTTGAAGCCCAAAAAGGTAGAAAGACATATTTGTCACTCGATTGTGTTACCTGTCTATATTTGAAAAAATAAAGATCTACAATTTGCTATGTTCTAAATAGATTTATTTTAATTACAGGCAGTAGCTGTAAGCATCCCTCTGATGACTGCTGGTCTGGTGACTATTCATGATGTCTGCAGAGGCCAGTGGTATAGAGAGTGTTGCAGTGAATGGAAACATGGAGGAGGGACCTGACCATGCTGATGGTAAAATAGAGGATCCAGATAATCACCGTATCAATTCCATTAAAAAGTTTAAAGAAGCAATGTCACAGAATGGGTCTAGTGAGAATGCTGACATGCCTGATGCATGCAACAGAACTGCAACAGTAGATGACAGGATATGCGACAATTCCAAGGAGAAAACTGTCAAAGAAAATGGTCTAAATACTAACAGTGTTTGCAGTGACGAGGTAAATGACAAGCACACAGAAGTTACTAAATGTGGAAAGTCAGACGACCTACCAGCAGTAGACCCTATGGAAAATGTGGACGAGTCTAAAATCAAGGAGGATGAAATGGAGGTTGATGAGAGCAAATCGGATAGTAATGTGAATGAATCGCCAATGGAAACAGATAGCAATGATACAAAATGTGAAGCGGAAGAATGCCCGCAAGCAGATAACTTTAATAACCAAGAAATAGCAAAACAAACATCAGAAGAAAGTGTTCAAAACAACAAGGGTGATGAAAGTAATAAAGAAAACAACATTGCCCAAGAAGCAAAGGAGGAATCCAGTGTGGAAATGATCAGTAGTACGGAACAAAAAGCTTCCAAAGACGAACAAAATTCTTTAAAAAGTGAAAATGTTGCACAAGATTCCAAACCTTCATCTAACAACGATACCAAATCTAGTGAAAACGACAAAAGCGAAGATAAATCTGAAAAGAGTGGATTTGACATTAACATGACAAACTGCAATTCTGAAATATTTGATGAATCGAAGAAGAAAGAAGTGAAAGACAGTTCTAAAGAGGAAGCGTCCATAGCAAAGGAAAGTTCAAAAGAGGAAGGTCCCAAAGAAAAAGATATTTCTAAAGAGGAAGACTCCCAAGTCAAGAAACAGGGTAATTCTGAAGAAGAGCAAAGCAAAAAGGATGCCAAGTCCATTGATACTCTGACTGATGAAGATGGTTCAGAATTCATCATCACAATTAACGAGGATGACAGTGGTAGTGAGAAAGAGGAAGAGGTTGTTAAGGATAAAGCTATCACTCAGCCTCGGCCAGAAGTACCGCCACCAGTAAGAGCACCTGTAAAAGCTTCAATACCAAATATACTACAGAAATCTGATGCCAAAATCAGCGTGTCTCTACAAAGCTCCAAATCTCTGCAGCAGCAGCAGTACATACTGCCAAACGCATCACCGAACCAAGTGGTTAGTAAGACACAGTCGAAGTCTGCTCAGGGTGGAAAAGTACAGTACTACCCCATACACCTTCAAACAACAACAGGAACATCTCAGTACATGCAGTCTGTAATGGTTGCAGGAAAGTCCGTCCTTGTTCCGGTTTCGTCCTCTGGCATTGCTGGAACTTCAACGCAATACTTGATTGACCCAAAGAAGTCCATCATGTCTAAGAAGCCAATAATGACAGCTAGTTTGAACGCTAAAGCTAAAACATTTACCTCTCCACCTGTAACTCCTGTAAAACAAGGGTCTGGCCAAAAACAAGAGACATACAGTGTTCAAAAGGGCATTGAAACAATAGAAAGAGATGCTGATCTACCGTTGGCCAGCTGGGAAATGATCGATCTAGTCAAATGGGAAATTGCAAGTCATAAACCTGACAACACCTTCTGGATGGGATTATGTAACGTCAACAAGAAAGCAGAGTTAAGTGCCCCTTCCAAGTTTCTGTTTGATCTTGGAAGCGATATAGTTAAGGAATCTGCTTACAAGCAAATCACTCACGTACAAACTAAGAAAAAGGAAGCAGGCAAATTGAATGATGTAGAAAAGGAGAATCTAGAGAAAATGAAGAAAGTTGTAAAAGAATTGGAGGATAAACTTTCTCACATGGCAATGAAGAAACATAAATGTAGTTGTGGTTTTCAGACAGAATCTGAAAATGTTATGAACTTTCACAAGGAACATCCTCACATGCAGCCACCATTGAACCCCCAAGGTTCAATGACTTGTGCTCACTGTAATTTTGAAACAAATGACGGAACAAAGTATTCCTTTCACATGGAGTCTGAACACAACAAGGTTGGTCGTGTGTACAGTAAACCGGCCTTCTGGCAATGTGGCCTATGCTACTATGAACATAATAGTAAAAACAAGTTGACAAATCACAAATGGAAATGTATGAAACATTTCAAAGCCAATCAAAATCAGGCCCCGCATCACACAGACATCAACTACTGTTTGAAAAACATATATTACAAGTACCAAATCAAGAAGCCGCCGCCGCCACCTAAACCTCCTGCTGCTAAAGTAGCTCAACAACACAATCACAACACGCGGCATATCATCAAGCCACCTACATCAATACAACCCCGACTGGCACAGGGACCTCTGCTTGCTAATCAATTACAACAGAACAACTTTACTCGACCATCAATACGTGCTGCAACACAAATTCCAGGGGTGGTCTACAGCAACCAGGCAGCAGCACTAGCAAGTCGACAGCAAAAAAATCCTCCTCGGTTTCCACAAAACAACCAACCTGTGAGAAACCCTATGCAAGTTGTTGTACGGCCACCTGCTACATACAAAGGAAATACTACAGTTAATCAGTTGCTTATGCGAGCCAAAGGTCCCAATCAACCACAGAAGCCTCCACAGAAGCCTCCCCAATCCATTGCTAAAAAGACGGTGTCTCAACCGGCCAAACAAACAGCAGGACCAACATTTGAAGTGTGCGAAATATGTGGAGGTTACGTGAAAGACAGAATGTCGTTGAGAATTCATTTTTTCTATGCGCACAAAATTGACATACCACAGCATGTTTTCAATCGGGACGTCGCTCCCCTCCTGTGTGAAGTATGTAAGAGTAGGTTTTGGACAACACAGGGATTGTCCAAACACAGACTAGCTACTCAACATTCTGCTGCTGCACCTAAACAGCCATCGGTGACAATCACTGGCGACAACACTTGCTGGATTTGCCATCAACGCCAGGCAAATCTATACACTCATCTGCTCCAGTTTCATCGACTTAGCACTGGGGAGTGTATGATGCTGAAACGCTGCATGTTTTGTGGGAGTTTGTCCACCAACAGGAAGGATCTCGAGATTCACATGGCTGCTGCCCATGGAGTGCTTATCAAAGGAGCAAACAACCCACCAAGCACACCTGCCAGACCACCTCCTGTTAAACAACCTGCACCCAAGACAGTTGTGGTTGGACCCAAAACCAGTGTTACTACTACCGGAGGTAAAGGATCTGGACTTGTGAGGAACAATTTCTGTGTTTTCTGTTGTAAACAATTTGCAGACAACACACAACTTACACTGCATTGTCTGGGCACCCATGCCACCTGCAGCAGTTGCGGCATGGTTGTGGCTCAGAACAGTGATCTCAAGACCCACGTTTGTCGCTCTGGCTCAGTCAGAAACTGCCCAATGTGTGGGGTCAAAAACCTTAAACCTAATGCATACACAAGACATATTTCATTATTTCATCTGAAGAAATGTGTTGTCCGTCTGAAACGGATGTCACAGAAACAGATAAAGGAGGCCACTCGGAAAAAGGAACCATTGTTGCCTGTGGCTGGTACAGTGGTTATAGATTTGCGCCCTCCTGAAGATAGGAAACGGTCAGCATCTGAAGATGATGATGGTGACATTTATGTGCCAGGCATTAAACGAATGAAGCCAGACGAGGAAACTGAGGAGCTATCTCGTGATAAAATGACTGATGATGCTAAAGTACAAGTTGAAAAGAAATATAATGATCAAGCTGATGAGGAAATGAAGGATGAAGCTGGAGAGCAAGTTAAAGTTCAAAAAGAAAGTACTGAGCAAGCTGCTAAGGAAACGACAGATGAAGCTAGTGAGCAAGTTAAAGTTTTAAAAGAAAGCAATGACGAAACTCCTGAGGAAATGAAGGATGAAGCTGGAGAGCAAGTTAAAGTTCAAAAAGAAAGTAATGAGCAAGCTGCTGAGAAAACGACGAATGAAGCTAGTGAGCAAGTTAAAGTTCAAAAAGAAAGCAATGACGAAACTACTGAGGAAATGAAGGATGAAGCTGCAGAGCAAGTTAAAGTTCAAAAAGAAAGTACTGAGCAAGCTAACGAACAGTCTAAAGATGAAGTCAATGCTCCAGTTGAAGAGATAGAAAAAGTTAGTCAGACTAAAGATGATGGAAATGGTGACAATGTAGCTCCTCAATAACCCTTTGTGGCATTATAGCAATTTAATTCTTGACAATTATTTATTGGTGGTGAGGTACTCGTCATTGTTTATGGCGTTGTTGTCAGCTAACATTGGAGAAGCATTTCTATAGATTGCATCCGTTAGATTTATGTGTATAACACATGAGTTCAGGGATTTTTGCCAGACATTTAAAGGGCCCAGTAAAGGGAACCATTGCTGATTAGATGTTAGCCCTGTATTGTCCCAATTGCAAACTACCTGTAAATTTGTCCAACCTGTCAGTTGATCTTCATAAATTTCTAAAGAAAAACTGAAACTTTTCAACAGCTTATATATTTTGTTGCATAATTGAGTAAAAGCAAACAATTAAAATTGGGAGTGGTACTATTTTCTTAAGTTTTAGCAAAATGTTCAAATATTCCCAATTTTTGGACAAAACCACTGGCAAAACCCCTGGAGTTTCATGATTACAATTTACACATGTTGATATTCCACCTTTTTTTCAACAATTTATTGTTTGTACCATCAGACTCGTGTTACTAATAATTATAAGAGAGTGGCTGAAACCATACATGTTATTCTTTCATAAATGCAAAGTAGAGCTAGAAGTACACTAGTAATTCTTACCTATCAAAGAATCAATGGTATGCATAATGCAGGAATTGTTAATCTGGTCCTTGATCATCGTTTCCCAATGCTTTGTCTAATTTTAATCCTGGAATTTGATAGCATTGGGCCATTTAAGCAATTGTTAGTCAATATCAAAACTAAGAGGGGCCATTGTATGTAAAATTTAAAGAAAATTGGAACATGGAGGGGTCAATGGCCCCCTCCAGAATTATCCCTGTTGTCTGGTGTATGATAGAATATAAAGAAATGTCTTGAGCACAGGGACCTGAGAATTTGTTACAGCTATATTTGGACATAAACTACGGTATTCAGATTAATTTTACATGTTTTGAGGTTTAGATCAACTTTTTGTAAAAATGACAAGCCCGCACAAGTGATACACAGTCAAATTGATTAGTTTCAAGGGATTTCAAAATGAATTTTTTTGGGAATAGTTCTTAAAAAAGTAGTGTGGTAGCCATTAGCTTTACTATCTTCTGTGACAGTGCGAGGCTTCAGCAGTTGATGAATGCCTTTATCTTCGATGATTGTCCGAGTAAGAATTGAGATTTTTTAAACCCACTTGAAGGATGATGTCATGTATACTTAATCTGAAAGTCCCTTTACATGATACTAAGTATTCAACAGAAATAATTCCTCATAAATACTCTACAATTAGTAACGACTTTCTGAATAGGTTTATTTTGTACTGATGTTTGTTGTACATGGTATTTTGCTGAGACAATTTCCTGGCTTGTCTGCAGCACTGTAAGCATTAAATGGACCATTTAATTGGCTATTGGAATGCAGTGCAGTGACCTTAAAATTGTTTACCGGTACCTCAATATCTTCCAAAGAACAGCAAAAAAGAATGTGGCCTACTGGAGTTGTCTGGACATTTTGCCACATTGTAATAGGTCAAAGTTAATCTAAGGAAGGATGAGGGAGGGTACTTGAAATCATCATTCTTGTGTCGTAACACTACAATGTAAGAGTAAGAGTATACGTACTTTGGTACTTTTACACCTAATGTCCATAAAACCTCATCAGTTTCAATTGTCTCCTTTGTGTAAATAGTTGAGCCTTGTTATTTTGAACTTGGAAAACTTGAATGACTTATTTTAATGCATGTGTATACTTCCTGGGATATTTAAATGTCCAGTTTAGATTACAGTTATGCACTCGCTAATTTTGAAATTGCAAGGTCAACTGGAAATGTGCATGTTTGTTATGTGTCATAGTAATTTTCTGACTTTTTCCTCAGATTAAGATGTGCGTGTATGTGTGTGGGTGAACTTGACTTTAATTTGTTGTTTTATATAAATATATATATGAATATACAGCATCATAACAGATTTTTTACTTCAAATAATTGTTTAAAAACAAATCTATTAAAGAGATATATCTTCATTGCCTTATTCTTGTCTCTACTCGGACAAGGCTCTATTTATGATTATGTGTTGTTCCTGATGAAGAAATGTTATTGTCATGTAATAAATTGAAGCATTTTGTATACAGTTACATTTTAGCAAGTTAGTTTCATGAAAACCTCTACCTTGTATCTTTTTTCTTTTTTTTTCTTCTTTTTTTTTTTATAAAAATGTATAGACTGCTTTGTTGGTGTAGTTTTAAGTTGGTGATCCACTTTAACAGTAGCTATTCTCACTGTTTCATTAGTAACCTATAGTACTCAATAGATGGAAGTTCCAAACAAGGCATTCTTAGTAATAACTTATTTGTTAATGCAGACACATTTGTGTTAGTTGGTATAACATACAGAGGTCTGTCTGTAACAGTCAAACAATAGATACAATTCAGGTGTTAAAAGTCTGACAAAAATATTAGAAGTGTTAAATCTAAACAGTTGAAGCATTTAACATTTCGTTATCAAATGTAGCAGTGTTTACTTTAATCACATCAGAGTCTACAGCACTAAGTCTGTAAACCAAAAGTATCTAAATTTAAACCATACCATATTTTGAAAGTCACACAAACTTAAGTTGTTGCGTTATATGGTTTATATGGGTCTCAAAACCGGAGTAGGTTATGTTTTAAAACTTTCAACATAACAAGACTTATATGTTGTGCTGTAAGAAGACCTAGGCTTTATGATAAAATATCTCACAATTGAGTCTCCTGTAGAGTTCATGTTCTGTATGGTTTAATATAAAGTACCCAATGACAGATTGTGATGACAATTGTAAACTTGATGTGATGTTTTGCTATAAAATGAACACTGAATTTTTCAATGTAATCCTCTAGCTATGGACAAGTAAAATTTGTACACCTGTACAGATCTACTGAGACCAAGCTCTTAATTATAAGTATTAACAGAATGATTTTAAGAAAATTGACCTAAAGGTCTGTGTTAAATAATCTAAATCTATCAATGTAGCCTTTTAGTTCTAAACGTCTTTGAAAGACCTTGGCTGTTAATTGAACGTCAAACCTTATACATGTGACATCAGTTGGATTTCACCTATAATTCTTTGCATTTGCCAGAATTCTTCAAAATACAAAATGAATGTGATAGAAAAAAAAAGGTGCCATACCTAGTAAAATATGCAGTGTGGGTAGAGAAGAGTTGGAACCAGCTCAAAATATCTTCCGTCTTAAAAGTGGTATCCCTGATGTAATCTACTGTATTTGTTTGTATATTTGTATGGTGTATGTTGTATATTTAACTCTCTACCTTGTGTGTGCGACTGTAGACCGGTTACATAGTACGTTTTGGTAGAACTGGTCATAAAAACCTTCTGTAGTGCTCACTTCAGTGAAATTGGTGTTGAATATTGTTTCAGTTCCAAGAGAAATTTCTCTGGTAAACGTAGAAGATGTTTATTTGATGGTACATTGTAATAAAAAGCAAATGCGTAAATATATGTCAAATCTCAAATGACTTCTATGTTATTATTAACTGTCATTTATTGTATCTGCACATTCTCATTCATGTTACCTGGAATTCTTGTTACAAAGAAATATTGACAGTGTTTGATGACTGACCTTGGTTTCCAGTCCCTCACATATGAAGGTGATGACACAATAGAATCACCATGTCTGTCTGTCAGTCATATAGTTTATCAGTCCCCTACCTATGATGGTGTTGACACAATAGAATCACACCATGTCTGTCTGTCAGTCATATAATTTATCAGTCCCCTACCTGTGAATCACCACGTCTGTCTTGTCAGTCATATAGTTTATCAGTCCCCTACCTATGATGGTGTTGACACAATAGAATCACACCATGTCTGTCTGTCAGTCATATAATTTATCAGTCCCTTACCTGTGAATCACCATGTCTGTCTGTCAGTCATATAGTTTATCAGTCCCCTACCTATGATGGTGTTGACACAATAGAATCACACTACGTCTGTCAGTCATAAATTATCCATCTCCTACCTATGAAGTTGACACAATGGAATAGCACCATGTCATGTTTGTCAATGGGGGCATTATAGAATTGCCATGTGCCCAAAAATTACAACCCATGTCCTAAACACAGCTTTTGTGCAAATTATAGTTTAATAGTAAAGATGTCGCCAATCATTATACTGTGTAAAATAGTTAGAGAAAGCACAGAAAACGTTTAATAAGCAATATAAGTGTTAATACATGTATAACTGGAAAAAAACTAAAAGGTTGACGGAATCGTAAAATACTTCAGTGATGTCGTTTTTACTCCAAATTTCACAGATATGTACACTAATTACCAGTCTTTTAAGTAAATAAACTGAACTAAAGACTTGTTGGAGTAAAATTTCCAAATACTTCTATTTGCCTTTTTCACTTTCAAATAAATTTGACTGCCTTATTAGGGTTAGACACTAACTTGTTTTGCGTGGTAGTCCACAGGACTAGTTGAATATATTATTTACTTTACCTTCGTCAAAGTCCAGGATTTTCTGATAAGGAAACATCAGCAAAAAAACATCAAAAGTAATCGACTGTAGGGGAATTAAAATAACTACTGCAATAAAAATATGGTAAATTTTCAGGAGAATTTTGACAATTATCACGCAACATATCTTATCTTAAGCAATTTTCTTAATTTTGAAAAGGAACATTCTTATTTTATAATCATATTTTTCACAAGTCCAAAGGACCAGTTAGGTAAGGTGTTTCATTAGTCCTTGCTGAAATCTATTAGTCCAGGACTAGCGGACTAGTGTTAGTGTCGACCCCTGATTATTTGTGCCTACTCGCGATAACCTGTGAAGGTGGGGGGCACTATAGAATCTCGTTATGTCAATCACATAACTCATCAGTTCCCCTCCTGTCAAGGCAGGATACCTGTAGAAATGCATCTTGCCTGTCAATCATATATATCCAGTTATCACATTTGAATGTGTTCATTAATCTTTTATTTAGCTGATCACTGGTTGTCATAAACTTTTAATTTTTACTTCAAACAACTTTTAAGTAACCAAGAGGCCTAAGATATTCAGCTTGTACTGCCTGGCTTGACTCATATTCAAGGTAACATTTAGGGTCAAATATGTTTGAAAAAACTGAAAGACTTCTGAATGATCAAAAATTGGTAGGGTGATCGATATTTGGCAAGAAGAATGCCGGATAACAGTCATGATATATAGTTATATAGCTTGGTTGAAGGACCAAGGTGAGCTTACGCCATACCGTTGCGTCCGTCGTCCGTACATCAATAATTTCTTTAAACGACCTCTTCTTTTTAACAACTGATTGAAATTCAACTAAATTTGACTGGAAGCATCCCTAGGTGGTGGAGATTCAAAATTGTACAAATTGTGGGGCTGAGGGGCGGGGCCAAAAGTGGGCAATTAGGCTATATTGCTACAAACGACTTCTTCTGTAGAACTATGCACTGGATATCAATCATATTTAATCAAAAGCATTCATGGAAGGCAGGGATTCAAAATTGTACAAATGGTGGGGCTGAGGGGCGGTGCCAAAAGGGGGCAATTTGGCAATATTGATATAAAGGACTTCTGTAAAACTATGACATGGATAAAGATCATATTTGGTCGGAAGCATTCATGGGAGGCAGGGATTCAAAATTGTACAAATGGTGGGGCTGACTCCCCGGGCTAAGGGGAAGGGCCAAAAAAAGTGTATTACTTGGAAATGTTTGAGATCCCCAACATATAACCATATATACAATTGCTGAGTATAAAGAGAAGAATGCACATTTGCTTCCAGGATGGCACAAGGATCTGGCCCCACCCATGGAGACATAGTCCCTGGGCCATAACTTTAAAACTGTTGAGATCCCCATCCCAAAACTATATATACAAATGCTGGGCATAAAGAGACGAATGCATTCATGATATCAGAATAGACCCTGGGGTTTGACCGAACCCCTAGGGACCTCCTGGTTTCTTAGTCACAGCTTGGAAACAGTTGAGAGCCCACCCTATAACCGTATATACAATTGCTGAGTATAAAAAGATGATTGCACATATGCTTCCAGGATGGCCTTGGGGACTGCCCCACCCTTGGAGACTTAACCCCTGGGTCATAACTTCTAAAAAGATCCCAACCCCAAAACTATATATACAATTGTTGGGCATAAAGAGATGAATGCAGTCATGCTATTAGAGGTGACCCCAGGGTCTGCCCCACCCTTGCAGACTTAACCCCTGGGTCATAACTTTGAAACGAGACAAATGCAGTCACGATATTAGAATTGATCCTGGGGTCTGGCCACAACCTTAGGGACCTAGTTTCTGAGTCACAGCTTGGAAACAGTTTAGATCCCCACCCTATAACCATACATAAAATTGCTGGGCATAATAAATCTAATACAGATATACTACAAGGATTGGCCTTGGGGTCTGGCATATTCCCTTGATCTCATTTGGAGAATATTTGCCATGATTGCTTAGGTATCCAGGTGAGCGATACAGGCCCTCTGGGCCTCTTGTTACAAATTTGTGAAAAGAAATGGCCTTGACAGATATGCAAAGTCACATGGATCAAATCCGTTAGAACAGCAGCTTTTTGTGAGGAACCAGGAAGCCTAAAGTCATGATCTATTGCTAGCATGGAGTGTTTTTCGAAAGAGAACAAAAAATCTCCTTGGTTTTTGACAAAGCTATATAACAAATAACAACATATATATATAGCTAAATTGACATTGATTTTATGTTACCAGTTTTTAGGCATTTTACATTTTACATTACACCAATAATTTTTTTCAAAACGATTCGCCATTTCATATATATGTAACAACAGACTTGGCTTTCTGTTAAAGGCAACATATGACATGCTACGTAGCCCCTCAAACCTACACACCTGGGGACTGAGGGACAATGCAGCATGTGGACTCTGCGGACGACCCAAAATTTTGAACATGTGCGAACATCTTGCACAGTCGCACTTACAGATGGCAGGTACACATGGCACCATGACCAGGTCCTCAAGTAAAAAGCAGAGAGCCCCAACAATGCCAGAAGGAAGAAAAGTGCAGTGGCAAAGGGTACAAAGTTTGTCAATTTCGTGAAGGCAGGAACCAAAGGGGAGAACAGCTCGGAGGGAGGAGGGATTCTCACAACAGCAGGAGACTGGGAAATGAGGGCAACCATCCATCAGAGGATGGGTTTCCCAGCAGAGGTGGCTGCTACACCACTCCGCCCAGACATTGTGTTGTGGTCCTGGAACTCAAAGCAGGTCTTGATGGTAGAACTGACGGTTCCATGGGAGGACAGGATAGAGAAGGCACATCAGCGAAAGAGGACAAAGTACCAGCAACTGGAAGAGGACTGCCAACAACGAGGTTGGAAGGCATGGTGCCTGCCAGTTGAGGTGGGAATCTGGGGATTTCCCTGGCCAATCTCTATGGAGGACTTTAATTGAGGTTGCTGGGGATGCTAGGGACAGAGCTGAAGAAGCTGGTGGGTGATGTGAGCAGAGAAAGCATCCAACTGGATATGGAGAAAGAGAGAAGGGTTGTGGTGTGGACACCAACAGTGCTAGTCACACGGCGCCACAACACAGGACATCACAAGACTTGATGGATGATGCAGGAGGCTGTAGCAACAACATGGCAGCAAGCTGCAATACCAACCAGCAGCAGCAAGAGCAGACCAGTCCCTGGCTGGGTCTGATCAACCCAGTCGGCGCACCTCTGGAGGACGTCGTGGATAAGTGCCGAAACATCTTACAAAGGAGGACCATCCACCTGGTGATGGTACTGGTCAGCATTGGAATATTCCAATGTATTCAAGGTACTTAGGCTTTAGTGTAGCCGAATAGAAGTCAATTATATATTACCAAGACGTACATATTTACAACTTTGTGTACATATGCTTTAATGGTCATTTGTCTTGTGAAAGTGACTACATGTCACACTAGTCATTCAAACATCACATATCAACATTTCACTGGTTGTCTTATAGGAACCTTCTACAATGACCTACTTTCAAGGTCATAATGGCTTGGTTTAATTTTGTTTAACATCCTATCAACAGCCAAGGTCATTTGAGGATGTGCCTCCATGTGTGTATCAAGGTCATAAGGGTCAAATCAAAAGTGTTAAACCTTTAAACAACATTAACCAAGAATCATACTATCTAGAACTACAATACATCGCCTAGATCATTAGTATGCACACATAACTCTGGTTGTATCCCCAAGGTCAACCCCAAAGCAATAGATTTAATTCCTGTCATTATTGTGATGCTTGCGTGGCCGACAATTTCTGAAATATCTTCTCATGAGTCATTCTACACAGATGTAGCCTGACCAGTCAGTTAGTCACACTCACTCCTAGTGTCTGTACCCTCACGCACAGCAAGCTTATCCTCAACAGTTCAATTTCACTTGCGAAATGAGGGTGACATAGGTACCATTCAGTTGGCATCATCAGCACAACTCAAATACTTGTACTGTATACTTGAAAAATTATGCCAGGTCATACGTTTTGTCCAGTTCATGTATATAGAAAAAAGGGTCAATATAAAACTCTTTTAATGCTTTAGAGGTCAGGTTAATTGATATTTGGCAGTCTATCATATTATAAAGTGCAGAAACCCGTAAATATATCCAGTGATCAACCCATCAACATAAAGGATTTTATTTTCTTGACTTGTCAATCTCAAGTTGTATATTTGGTAATGCTATAATTACAAGATGAATGTTGCATAAATAACACAGACCACTGATATTATGGATAAACAATATTGTCTTTTATTATCACAGTAATTGGTTGGTAAAAAATATACAATGGGTTCCACTTTGTAACATCAGGTGATATGTTATCATTTCTCTCTTATTGCATGTAATTAAGTCTGTTTGATATCAGAAGTAAAATTTAACTCGCATACTAATGTCAAACGTTTTAACAGGAGATAGATTGTTTGTAGTTTCTCAGTGTTTAAAGCTGATGTCTTCAACAACTAATCATCACAAAGTCAGATATTTTTTATAAGAAATAGTCGCCCAGGATTTAAAGCTGATGTACAGGAATATCACATCCATATTATTAAATCACACAATATATTGTCAGGATTCATAATGCTAACTATACAAAAAAGATCCCGCGGTACAATCCTTACTTGTGCCACAGTCTGTAGAGACAGAGACATCCAATGTATGAAGTCAACCACACATAATTAACAAGTTCTGCTATATACAAAATTTCCACTAAAAAATACACTACAGTATATATGCAATATTGTCAAAATAAAATAATTTAACAAGTTTAAAAAAATTAAATTTCCGAATTAATGTGGGCACTAATTTTCAAGAATACTGCTGTAAATTGTGATTCTATAACACTGGTAAACATTGTTATATTTGGCCTGAGTGGTTAGGTGTATATTGTAATTCTATAACACTGGTAAACATTGTTATATTAGGCCTGAGCAGTTAGGTGTATATACCATGTTAATCTGCTCTACAACAATTATCAGACTTGATGTCCATGTAAATGATGAAGTAACATCAGTACCACCTACTTTATATGAGTAGATATTTGACATGAACACTTCATATAGTTACACCTTCTACGATCTTACCTAAGTAAGCCTCACCTATCACAGTATCACCTTAGATAAACTAGTCATATACCTGTCACTGTAGAAATGTCAGCCTAGCTTCTACCACCAAATTTAAGTAAGCTATACCCCTTCTTTGGCCTGAGATAAACCCACTTTCTATAACCTTAGATATATCATCCGGTTCTTATTATAGGTATGATAGCCAGGATTAACTTTAGATAATTAATTAACCTTGTCTTTTAGAATTGTAGATAAAGTAGTCATATCTTCGCCGACCTTGAATAAGTAAACTATGTCTTCTAGGAATGAATTGCACAACCAATGATGTCTGAGATGAAGCTGGAAGCACCGATCAGAACAGGAGTGTTCAGGACGTGATCCCATTCCTCCTGTAGAACTCTGATTTAACGTGGGCGATCCGGACATGCTTCCTGTCGGGATGGTCTGCACACATGCTCAGTCGATGCCCGTAGTCAGAGGAAGCTAGGGTGGGTACTTCTTTTGTCTTCTCCTGTAAAACCATAAACAAATGAGAACTGTGCACAAATACAAAACATGCCTCCACATGCAGTTATCACAGGCATCTTAACTTGAAACTGTCTCTTAATGGACCCAAACATACATAAAGATATGAAAGCGAGTCCTGGTCCTGATGAAGACTCGCTTTAAGAGTCTAAACCAATCGGCCAATAAAACCCCACTACCTGGTGACGCCTGAGCTGTGTTGTGATTAGAACCCTGCCCATTACATTTACCTATTCGATACCAATCGTCCTGCCTTCTGGTATCCACTCTCGGAGTGAAGCGCCCCACTGATCAACCCATCTACAACCACAAGGCGTTGGCTCTACATTTTGTTGTTAAACAAGAGGCCCAATGGGCCTGCATCGCTCACCTGGTATAAAACTCACACTTGTAACCTTAAAAGTGATCTAAAATAAAGCTACAGGCAAAATATCAGTATTTATGATTAAAATTCGTTCAAAAGACCCTGTTATTTTTTTTTTAAACATTTCACCCCTGTGATTGAAAGTCGAACAAAGTCATTATGTTGAACACATTGTATAGGCTTTCATCTCAGGATGCAACTTGCAAAGTATAAACATCCTGGGACCCATGGTTATTCATAAGAGGTTGTTTAAAGATTTTAAACAAATTTGACCCCTGTGACCTTGAATATAAGTCAAAGTCATTCACTTTAACAAACATAGTAGTCCTTGATCCCAGCATATGCTACTAACTAAATATCAACATCCTGAGCCTTTTGGTTATTCAGAACAAGTTGTTGAAATATTTTAAACATATTTGCTCCTTGTGACCTTGAATATGATTCAAGGTCATACATTTAAACAAACTTGGTAGCCCTTGATCCTAGTATGCTACTGACTAAATATCATCACCCAGGGCATTTTGGTTATTCAGAAGAAGTTGTTTAAAGTTTTTAACATATTTGACCCCTGTGACCTTGAATATGGGTGAAGGTCATTTATTTGAACAAACTTTGTAGCCCTTTATCTCAGCATGCTACTGGCCAAATATCATTACCCTGGGCATTTTGGTTATTGAGAAGAAGTTGTTTAAAGTTTTTAACATATTTGACCCCTGTGACCTTGAATATGGGTGAAGGTCATTCATTTGAACAAACTTTGTAGCCCTTCATCTCAGCATGCTACTGGCCAAATATCATCACCCTGGGCATTTTGGTTATTCAGAAGAAGTTGTTTAAAGTTTTTAACATATTTGACCCCTGTGACCTTGAATATGGGTGAAGGTCATTCATTTGAACAAACTTTGTAGCCCTTCATCTCAGCATGCTACTGGCCAAATATCATCACCCTGGGCATTTTGGTTATTCAGAAGAAGTTGTTTAAAGTTTTTAACATATTTGACCCCTGTGACCTTGAAAATAGATGAAGGTCATTTATTTGAACAAACTTGGTAGCCCTTCATCCCAGTTTGCTTCTGGCCAAATATCATCACCCTAGGCCTTTCGGTTATTAAGAAGAAGTCGTTTAAAGTAAAATATTGACGCCGGACGACGGACAGACGGACAGACGACGGACGGACGACGGACGCCGCACCACGGCATAAGCTCACTTGGCACTTCGTGCCAGGTGAGCTAAAAACAATGAAAAAAATACCTTTTCATCTATGTGTTCGAAACTGATAAAGTATGTAGGTAAGACATTTGCTTGGTAAAATGGCCTCTAATAACTAGGTGATGTTATAGGTAATATATTCTTTGTTAAGATAAGTACACTGAAGTTTTGTAAAGCAATGTGGATTCCCTTTTCCAGTGTAATGACATATCGAGTTTCGTAAAAACAAAGAACACACACACACATTGAACTGTTTCAGAGGTTGCAATGTTTGATGAAATAATTTTCTGATCTTTGACAGCACTGTGTGACAAACATTACAGTTATTTGAACCTTTCACCCTTGCAACTGACCCTGCCTTTAATTCCGATACAGAAAGAAGGATGGGTAGAAATCCATAAGTTAAGTTTTATCCTAAGATAATTTATGACTATAAACAAGCATCACAATTATAACTTGACCTTTGACCTCTTAGTGACCTGAATCTTGAGAGTATTGATACGGGAATTGTATGCATTGTTATGACCCAGACAAGCATAACAATTATTTGACCTTTCACCCCTTATTTTAACCTTAACCTTAACATTAGCATGTTAACACACCATCCTGTAATACAATACTAAGGAAGTAAGATGTAAAGGTATAGTGGCCTACCTCATCGTTGACCTTGAGCCCCTTATTGTGACCTTAACCTTAAACTTTGCATGTTAACACACCATCCTGTAATAATACAATACTAAGGAAGTAAGATGTAAAGGTATAGTGGCCTACCTCATCGTTGACCTTGAGCCCCTTATTGTGACCTTAACCTTAAACTTTGCATGTTAACACACCATTCTGTAATAATACAATACTAAGGAAGTAAGATGTAAGGGTATAGTGGCCTACCTCATCGTTGACCTTGAGCCCCCGAGATTTGGCATGTTCTCTGTCATCTCGATGCAATTTATTGTTGAATCCATCTTGCTTTCTAAACAGTCTCTGATATGTTGAATATGGGTATCTCTCCTGAACATAAAACAAAACATTTATTTACAAAAAGCACCTATTTATAACGTTGAAACATATATCTAGATAGGAATAATAAGGTAAATAATGCACTAAAAATTGAAAACGAAGTTAATAGATTTGATCTCTTAGTCTAGTTGGATTATCTCTATCCCAACCACTGTGTGTTGTATGAAAGTATCAGGTTCAAATAACATAAAACCATTAAGTAGGACCCAGCCTACATTTTGGTTTATATACGAAGCTTTCCTAAATATTCTGTACTTCCATTCACTCTATCTATACATTCACTGCAACAAACTACACAAATTAAAGAACAATGATATTGCCACCTTTGTTGTATATTGTTAGTCATCAAAATGGTTATGTATTAGTTTGATTGAGTGCACACAGAATATTCAATTTTCAAAGCCAAACAAGCACAAATTTCTATATATATACATTTGTATATATCATTCCTATCATTCTCATGACTCAATGAATCTTAATTTCCATCACGACACAAAGAAACTGTCCCCTCCATAATTCTTATGATTCAATTTAGTTAGATCATTTAGCATCTCCACCGTTCTCATGACACAGTGTGACTATTCCCTCCACCATTCTCTTCATTCAATGTAACACACTTTTCAATATTATTGTGACTCAATGTTACTTTCACCCCCAATTCACATGACTTAGTGTAACTACCATCTTCAACATTCTCATGACTAAATGTTGCCTGATACTCTTCCTTCCACCATTTGATTGACTTAATGTAACTTGTCATCCCCTCTAACCATCACATGGCTCTATGTAACTACCATCTCCACCATTCTCATGAATTAATGTTACCCGATACTCTTAGTTCCACCGTTATACTTAATGTAACTTGTCATCCCCTCCAACCATCACATGGCTCTATGTAACTACCATCTCCACCATTCTCATGAATTAATGTTAACCGATACTCTTAGTTCCACCGTTATATTTAATGTAACTTGTCATCCCCTCCAACCATCACATGGCTCTATGTAACTACCATTTCAACCATTTTCATGAATCAATGTTACCCGATACTCTTAGTTCCTCCGTTATACTTAATGTAACTTGTCATCCCCTCCAACCATCACGTGGCTCTATGTAACTACCATCTCCACCATTCGCATGAATTAATGTTACCCGATACTCTTAGTTCCACCGTTATATTTAATGTAACTTGTCATCCCCTTCAACCATCACATGGCTCTATGTAACTACCATTTCAACCATTTTCATGAATCAATGTTACCCGATACTCTTAGTTCCACCGTTATACTTAATGTAACTTGTCATCCCCTCCAACCATCACATGGCTCTATGTAACTACCATCTCCACCATTCTCATGAATCAATGTTACCCGATACTCTTAGTTCCACCGTTATACTTAATGTAACTTGTCATCCCCTCCAACCATCACATGGCTCTATGTAACTACCATCTCCACCATTCTCATGAATTAATGTTACCCGATACTCTTAGTTTCACCGTTATACTTAATGTAACTAAAAATCCCCTCCAACCATCACATGGCTCTATGTAACTATCACATCCATCATTATTTTGACTCAATAACACTATTCCCTCCACCATTTTCATGACTCATTTAACTAGCTCTTTCTAACATGATTAGTAACAAAGCTACTAATACATGCATGTACTTGCATAAGTTTTTTTCATTATGAAGTTACATATATTAAATGCTTGCATCAGAAACGTCTAGGATTTTTTTTGTCTCGCCTAGTATAACGTCTCGCCTATAGCTAGTATAACTGAATGTGATTGGATACCTAATAGTTATCTCGCCTAGTATAACTGAATGTGATTGGATACCTGCTAGTTGTCTCGCCTAGTATAACTGAATGTGATTGGATACCTAATAGTTATCTCACCTAGTATAACTGAATGTGATTGGATACCTGCTAGTTGTCTCGCCTAGTATAACTGAATGTGTAACATTTTTTTAATGTAAAGCTTGGATACCTGCTAGTATACAAGTACATGTATTTACTAGCAAGCAATACACAAAGTAATATGCAACAGCTGTCTTTCTGAAAAGTAGTATGTCATAAATCAACATACATTAAAAAGAACACAAAACCATTGGCTAGATACTGTCGTTAAGAACACAAGACAACAGTCACCCACTGTCAAAGGGAGCATGAGATAGTCATCAACTGTCATTAAGAGCATGAGACAAAAGTCACTCAAAGTCTGTAGGTGAATGAGACATCAGTCACACACTGTCAGTAGGAGCATGAGACAACAGTCACACACTGTCAGTAGGAGCATGAGTCACCAGTCACACACTGTCAGTAGGATAATGAGACACCTGTCACACACTGTCAGTAGGAGCAATAGACACCAGTCACACACTGTCAGTAGGAGCATTAGACACCAGTCACACACTGCCAGTAGGATCATGAGACACCAGTCACACACTGTCAGCATGAGACATCAGTCACACACTGTCAGTAGGAGCATGAGACACCAGTCACACACTGTCAGTAGGAGCATGAGACAACAGTAACACACTGTCAGTAGGAGCATTAGACACCAGTCACACACTGTCAGTAGGAGCATGAGACACCAGTCACACACTATCAGTAGGATCATGAGACTCCAGTCACACACTGTCATTTGGAGCATGAGACACCAGTCACACACTGTCGTCAGGAGCATTAGACACCAGTCACACACTGTAAGTAGGAGCATGAGTCACCAGTCACACACTGTCAGAAGGAGCATGAGACACCAGTCACACGCTGTCAGTAGGAGCATGAGACAACAGTAACACCCTGTCAGTAGGAGCATTAGACACCAGTCACACGCTGTCAGTAGGAGCATGAGTCACCAGTCACACACTTTGAGTAGGAGCATGAGACACCAGTCACACACTGCCAGTAGGATCATGAGACACCAGTCACACACGGTCAGTAGGAGCATGAGACACCAGTCACACACTGTCAGTAGGATCATGAGACTCCAGTCACACACTGTCATTTGGAGCATGAGATACCAGTCACACACTGTCAGTAGGAGCATGAGACACCAGTCACACACTGTCAGTAGGAACATGAGACACCAGTCACACACTGTCAGTGGGATCAAGAGACACCAGTCACACACTGTCAGTAGGAGTATGAAACATCAGTCACACACTGTCAGTAGGAGCATGAGACACCAGTCACACACTGTCAGTAGGAGCATGAGACACAAGCAAGAAACTGTCAGTGGGACAAGAGACACCAGTCACACACTGTCAGAAGGAGAATGAGACACCAGATCCTAACTGTCAGTAGGATCATGAGACACCAGTCACACACTGTCAGTAGGATCATGAGACACAAGCAAGAAACTGTCAGTGGGACAAGAGACACCAGTCAGATACTGTCTGTGGGAGCATGAGACAACTGTCACACACTGTCAGTAGGAGCAAGAGACACCAGTCACACACTGTCAGAAGGAGAATGAGACACCTGTCACACACTGTCAGTAGGAGCATGAGACACCAGTCACACACTGTCAGTAGGAGCATGAGACACCAGTCACACACTGTCAGTAGGAGCATGAGTCACCAGTCACACACTGTCAGAAGGAGCATGAGACACCAGTCACACACTGTCAGTGGGAGCATGAGACACCAGTCCCACACTGTCAGTAGGATCATGAGACACCAGTCACACACTGTCAGTAGGAGCATTAGACACGAGTCACACACTGTCAGTGGGAGCATTAGACACGAGTCACACACTGTCAGTAGGAGCATTAGACACCAGTCACACACTGTCAGTAGGAGCATGAGACACCAGACCCACACTGTCAGTAGGATCATGAGACACCAGTCACACACTGTCAGAAGGAGAATGAGACACCTGTCACACACTGTCAGTAGGAGCATTAGACACCAGTCACACACTGTCTGTAGGAGCATGAGACACCAGTCACACACTGTCAGTAGGAGCATGAGATACCAGACCCACACTGTCAGAAGGAGAAGGAGACACCAGACCCACACTGTCAGAAGGAGCATGAGAAACAAGTCAGACACTTGTCAGTAAAAGTATGAGACATCAGCCAGATACTGCCAGTGGGAGTGCAAGGAAATCATATTTCCTTTTGTATAATATTTCAGTTGATATCACATTTTCTTTTATATGACACCCCCTTAATATCACATTTTCTTTTTTAATACACAAACTTTTCACTTAATATCACATTTTATTTTATATTACATTTCACTTAATATCAAATTTCATTTCATTTAACATTTCACTTAATACCACATTACCCCTTTCTATTTTTCTCTGGAAGAAGACATTAAGGTTAATATACACATAATTGATATACAGTGGTAATGACAACATGTATATGTAATGCTAGGAAATTGAATTTGTGTACACCTGCAAAATGTCACCAAACAATTAATGAATGATAACATGTCCAAATTAGCATTGATTCAACATAACAAATATTTTGAAATCCAAAAAACAAAATTAGTAACACAAAAATGATAACCTGGAGCATGCACCCTGACCAAACAATTAGTGAACTGCTTTATTGATACATGATGATTATCTTTACTTATCCCATCATTTCTTACATGCAACTCTGGGATGTTACATAGAAAATAACAACAATAGGGAATAACAAACAATTAAAAAAATGTCATTACATTGATGTATAACTGTTATGCAAAGCAAATTATTTTGGTTTTCAAAGCAATTTAAGCACATGCAAATTAAGCAACAAAAGGGCTATGTATGGTTTGGGCCTTTTTGGGGCTATTTCCCAAGTACTATTATGCTAACATTTATTTGTGTTTTCAATTTTGGCTGCCATGGTAACCAGGTCATATTTGCATAAATTATTGATATTTGATTATTCAGTCAATTTTGACAGGTTTTCACCTAGTTTTTCTCTTAGTTACTATAGAGCACACTCTTGAACAAACTTTATATTTCTCCTAAAGATGTATTACAGGTGCCTACACAATATCCATTGATATTAAGTTTGTTCAAGCATGCGCTCTATAGTTTCTAGGAGAAAAACTATGCAAAATATCACAATATTCACTGAATATTCATTTTTTTCTGATTTATGCAAATTTGAACTTGTTACCATGGCAACAATAATTAGAAATATAAATATATATTTTCATAATAGTATTTTGGAAGTATTTGAAATTAAAGAAACAGTCATTTCAAAGTTCATTTAAAGGTTTTGAATTATGATGCATTTGGGGCCATAACAGGCCCAAACCTTACATAGTCCTTTCATTCCAGAAACAAATAAAAAGCTTTGGTAACAATATAAACTGACACACACTATACTGTTTTGTGTATAGGGCTATGTTACCTCTGCCACAGCAAAGGCTACCTGGAAAATAATGCATCAAATTGGATTGTTTTATAGATACTGATATAACCATTCCAAGTTGTTATACAATAAATATGTGTTTATCAAAGGACATTTTCTTAATAATATCATGCTTCAAACATGTGTAGTATACTTCCTGGAGTATTGAGGGTGACTTCCTATTAATATATGGAAATGATTATAAAAAGCGAACCAATGTCCTGATTGTCGTGGGTCTAAGTGGGTTGTTGTGGGAATCTGTGATGGAAACCTGGTATGTAACACTATTCACTAGCGCTCCATCAAGGAAGGTAAATACAAATAATAGAAAGATGAAGCAGCAACATCTAGATTTAATTGAAGTTTAACTATAGTTAACATGTGTCAGCTGGCTAGGCCAGTCGTCATCAGGGATACGTAGCAGCTCCATCTTTCCTATCATTTCTGAATAGTGATTTCTATTTCAGAGTCACAATAAAATACAGATAACATGTACTTTTTGTGTCTTACTATTTTGGAAGGTACATCTCCTACATTTTGCTGTTTATTCAAATTCTATAAAGCTTCAAACCTAAAATTCTGTTATTTGTCAGTTATGGACCATTGTAACTAGATCACCTGAGCCACATGCTCAACATCTTCGCTAGCCAAGTGTTCGCTTCGTATACACTCCACTTACCCTTGGCTGATATAGGCTATATCCGCCAAGGGTAAGTGGAGTGTATACGAAGCGAACACTTGGCTAGGGAAGATGCATGCTCAAATGACCTATCACATGTATATATGACCAGTGTGTTTCCGTTTCACATTTTCCACTTCATCTGAAAACCATAAGACATTGGGTCATCTTTTTTGTTTGATTTTACAATGCAGTACATGTAGTTCCCACATGAAAAATTGGAAAGGTTCGTAAGCATTGTAAAGATATGAAATTTCTAATAAAAAAAAAGTTTAACAAACAACGGAAATAAGCTATCTCCACTCCATCAACATTTTGAAAAAAAAGGATCGGATCATTGGAATCACAGCAATATGTTGTTTGCTGACAAGAATGAAACACTTCTTAACATTGGCATGAAAAAGTTTCCTTTCATTTAACTTTTGTGAATCATATAACAGCAAGTATCTGTGGACTCACTCAGATGATCTTGCACTTTCCCAAAGGGCTGAACAACTGAATACAATAAGAAGAAAATCACATTGAAATTCAAGTTAACACAATTAAAACGATTAAAATTATTTCATCTGTCAAGCATTACTTTTATGGAACAAGTCAATTTTTCTACTTGAAGTTTTTTCTTTCTTTTAAACAATATACTGTAACGTTATACTAGCAAGTTAAAAAGATCACATACATCTTTAGGGGTGTTGAAACAAGTTCTTTCAGGAGGGTCCTCTCTTTTAGTAGGTATAAATGAATACGCGGACATTTCACATGATCTTCCCTTGAGAGTGAAATGATTGGTGTCCGTTTGGACTTCGAGTTGACGTTCTGTTGATTCTGCCATCGTTTTTCCCTTCAGCAAGAGTAAATTCAATATGGCCGATGTCAACTTCCGTTGTCAGGTGCCCGCAATAATTTATTTTAATCTGTTCAAAATGTTTATTTAGTGCAACAAGTCCTCATATATTTAGCAGATTTAGTATATTCAATAGTTGTTCAAAGTATATTATTCCGATTAATAATAATAAAATTGACAATTAAACCATTTTCCCATGATGCTTCTCGTCATACCAATATGGACGACGTCGAACTAGTTTCTCTTCCTACATCGAGCAGATAGTTGGGAAACCCAGTTTATTACAATATCGTGTGACATTCAGGTGATCATCTCCTTTTTATCGGTTAAATATGATAATTGAGAAATGTTAGGGCTCTTATAATTGTACTTAAATGATTTTCCGTGTATTATTTCTTCACAATTGTCACATCAAGATTTTTTCTGGCCTTCCTGTTTACATTAACACTCTGCATTTGTATATCTATTCTGTATTTTTATGTTGTGATGTGTTGTTATAAATATTTACATGCCATTATCTATTACGAGTTATTTGATGATTAGTGTCCTGCTTTTTATCATTTTCAGATCATAAACAATAGAATTGCCATGGGCATCCAAGGAAATTGCTTTTGTGAACCTCAAACTTGAAAAACAAAACACAAAAGATATTATTAGACTCACGATAAATAAGACATGGTATGATTGTAACATTTTGGATAGTGCATAGCATTGTCACAAGTGCAATACAACATAACGGACTGCTGAAACAAGTACTGCAGTCATTGGTGTGGAAGATGGGAGCATGTATTTGTAAAGATAAGACCAACACTATAGACAACCGAAGGGGGAGCAATGTCGTGTCAAGTCTCATGTCTTCGGAGACAAGTACTAGGGGACAGCAGTCAGTGCAGACAGATGCAAGAATTGGCACCCACGTGTCAACATCCTCAGGAGGTTGGAGAGAAGTGAAAACGGTGGATGCACTTGTGCTGGAAACTCTCTCAGTGATCCGTTCTCTGGTGGATAAGTATGTAAACAAGGGGTTATACATGTACATGTAGTATCAGGAGTGGGGACCCAAATCAAATCAGTACCAAAGATGAATCATATATCTCAAAAATACTTTTAATTTTGTAACATAGGAATGCATAACTGCTCTTTCTTTGTTATTGTTTTATTGGCAACAGATGATTAATTTAAAAGCTTGAATAGCAAAGGAATATGTCTTTCAAACTTAAAAATTAGTTGTTTGCTTATATTGCTAAAAAAATCACCCAGGAGCAGAAGACTGCTTTCTGGTTTGGACAATAGTAAGCTCGGACAATAGAAATACATATTCCTGTATTTAAGCAAATTACAAAAAATCACTATAAAGTATTGAAATACCAGCAATGGTTTGTTAATTGGAAGCATATTCAAGTTTTGATCCATTTTGGGTTCTGGCATCTGCAAAAAATAGAAACGATAATTGGTGACGTCAGGGCATTCTGTATCTGCATATCAACTAAGCCCAGGAGCTTATTTAATTGATAAGAACACCTATCAATCTTTTCCTTTGATAAAACCTTACATAGATGTAACTTATCTGCTGAAATTCTGATGAATTACCAAAATTATTGTTTGGGTACTCTCACCTTCAACATTAACTGATGATTTTAGTACTGCTAGTGTAACGTGATACAGGCCAACACAAAAAAATATGTTGATGTTTAGTCTGTGACCAGTATTGATGGTGACAGTTAGAGTGAGTGATGATGAAGAGAGAAATGAATGTTAATAAGGTAATGTATGTTGACGTTTAGTCTGTGACCAGTATTGATGGTGACAGTAAGAGTGAGTGATGATGAAGAGAGAATTTAGGGTTAATAAGGTAATGTATGTTGACGTTTAGTCTGTAACCAGTGTTGATGGTGACAGGGTGAGTGATGATGAAGAGAGAATTTAGTGTTAATAAGGTAATTTATGTTGACGTTTAGTCTGTGACCAGTATTGATGGTGACAGTAAGAGTGAGTGATGATGAAGAGAGAATTTAGTGTTAATAAGGTAATGTATGTTGACGTTTAGTCTGTGACCAGTATTGATGGTGACAGTTAGAGGGAGTGATGATGAAGAGAGAATTGAGTGTTAATAAGGTAATTTATGTTGACGTTTAGTCTGTGACCAGTATTGATGGTGACAGTAAGAGTGAGTGTTGATGAAGAGAGAATTTAGTGTTAATAAGGTAATTTATGTTGACGTTTAGTCTGTGACCAGTAGTAACTTTGACATGCGTTGATGTTGACAGTGAGAGGGAGCCACCTCAGGCTATGCTGTACCTACAGGAAGTGTCTGAGTCACAGAGTGGATGGTTACAGATGGTCAATTCTCTCATCCACTCAATACCTATAGAGGATCCCTTGGGCCCAGCTGTAGTTACTCTGCTCTTGGACGAATGTCCTCTCCCAACTAAGGTAATAAAGAATATTCTCCTCCTAAGGTAACACAGAGTCAGTAATTATTTTGCCTATTTTTGCCGCAGAATACAGGCTGCTTCCACTAGCAAAAAAGTGTTTTCTTTTCCCAAAAGGACAAACATGAGGAGTCTCTTCTCAATTTTAACTCCCTATTAATGTTAAATAGAATTTCCTCTTCCATATAGGATAGCATCATGACCTCTTTTGTATAAGGTAAAACAATGTCCTCTTTGAACTAAGGTTAACAGATTGTCCTCTTCCTACGGAAGTGAACAGAATGTCATCTACCAATTAAGGTAAAACAGAGTATTCTGACATATGTTAAGAACCCTGATATGTGCCCAAAACCCTAGCTGTGATACCGTAGCTTTCTGACGTCATGATTTTCTTTTTATATATTGCGTCGTCAGAGCTACGAAGCAATCCTATGCCAACTAATGGAGCAAAATCAATAATGCTAATCTGTAAGATAACATATAATTCACGCCTCATATGATTATAATTTTATCAAAATACTGCATGTGTTGAAAAAACATCTCTACCAATGAAAAAAACCTCTTTCACAAAATTAGCCAAGTCTGTCTTGGGGAAAAAAATAGAAACGACTGTCATAACAGATCACGCGTGATGTTATCTCAATTATCCTTTCTATGTATAACCTGCATGGCCAAATATAGTATTACTACTAATGCCGCCATGATTACTACAATTTCCATTTTGGGTCATGACACCCATATACAGACGTCTGACCTATATCGGAAGACAAATGAACTTTCCAACATGGCGGTCAATTCAGATTTCGATTACACTTGCTACGTTAACTTGATAATAACGACATTTAAGGCAGAGTTAACTTCAAGTTATACAGGATATCAACAGAAATTGTGCATACTACAACCCTATTTATGGATGCGGACCATTGGCTTTCAATTACTACTAAAATCGCCCCGGTGTGATTCACACCAAGCTTGCTCTATTACAAGGCATGGGATCGATTTAATACCCGGTTGGGTATTACTATTAGTACAAGTACTACACAACCCTGATAACTGTCCAGAATACTGTGGTATATCCAGACCCTTCTGACCTAAACACACTTAATATTCCAGCTGCTTTTACATAATTAAGTATTGTGCTTTTTAGTTATATACACTGTAATAGAAATTAATGTCTCGTTTGATTTTCTCCATTCTTAGGAAACGACATTGGTTTTATGTGAAAAAATGAACTTAAACAACGAAGAACAAGGGGCCAAAAACCAAAAGAAATTTTGTCAGATACCTAGAAACATTGGAGTTGTCCTTGGTTGTTTAGCAGAAAAGTTAGCAGGTAAGCTTATAATACTTTCTTTAGGTCAGATCAGCAGAGCTGAATTATTTTTCTTTTACCCACTAGCAGAACTTATATCCAGGAGGTGTTTTTTGTTCCTTTGAACAGAAATAATTTGCTTGAAACTTACTCTTTCACTGCCAAATGATGAGAATCTAAATTTCAGAATAACTTTTTTTGCTTAGGAAATAAGGTTTAACATTATGCCAGTAGAAGTAGGGTCGGCAATATTCAGTAATACAGTTATTTAAAACTTAAAATTTGATAATAAAGATATTAATGATGTTCATTTGCTGTTGACAAAATGTTTAATACATAACTTATGAATAATTTAACTGTTGTTTAGGAGTAAGTGAGTCATCTTGCTTGTTTCAGGACCAAACAGTATTGCCCTTTTGACACCTCGCGTGTTGGAGTACCTACTTAGGAATCTAGTAAGTATTGATGGACTGTCACTTTGTTGTGAGTAAAACAACGAACTTTTAAATATGCCTGAAAGATGTCTTGGTCGGAGCCCCGTTTCCCAAATGATCCTAAAGCCATTTTATGTAATTTTTCACAATACACTTACTGGTAGATACAAATGTAAACTGAGATTTCTGCCCAGCTTACTTACACACCCAGAATGTGTAAAATATATTTGCCTACCTATCAAATTACTATCAAATTACTATCAAATTACCCAGTGTTGAAATCGCTCACCCTCCTGTTGGAAATTCAGTGTCATGCAGGTATTTTATTATTTCCATGTGCTAATATTTGACAGCATATTGGTTTCATGTTAAAAGGAGAACAGACAATAAAAATACGGACAACAGTCATGTTTTATATGCTCATTTCATTTCTATTGTACAGACTTAAAATAAACGTACCAAATAAAGATAATGTAAGGAATGTACAATACAGAGAACTGTTACGCATGTAAATTTTCTGATCAGAAACTATTCAGATATTTCTATCATACTGTTAGGGTAATCAGGGACTAATCATGTCAATGCCAAATTTCAACATTGACAACATTTTTAAACTGATGGAAATGGTAATCAATCATAGAAAACACAACCTCGTTCATACAGAAATCACTTGACATCATTTGCAACAGTTTTGTTTGAAATGTGTCCTAAACCAAAAGAAAATAATCTAGAAGATAAAATAAATTTTCTTTATTGCTTTGAATGTAAATTTAAGCTTAGAAATGCATGTTTTTAACATTTATGACAGTATGCAAGACATGCATTTCTGTTAACTCATCTACAACATTTTTCAAGCATTTCAATTTTTCGAGACTACCCCATTTTACATTGCAGGAAATGTCACTACCTCCTGTAGTTATACTTCATTCCTTGGTAGCTTTGGAGAAGTTCGCACAGACCAGTAAGTAAACAGACAAAAGCAGTCTAGATTAATCAATTCATTGTTGTTTTTGTTGTAAAGAAAGAACAATTGAATTTCTAGTCACATAAGATTAATTATTATGTATACATTGTACATGTACCAGGAAATTTTGACTGCAATTTAACTTATGTCTTTTTTGCCCGCTATAATGGGGTGAATTTATCATTACACTGAATATAACTACACAACATAATATTATACAGTTATAGAATTGGTATTTATGGTCTCCCGAGGTGAAAAACTATTCCCCTCTACGGCTTTGCCGCCTCGGGAAATAGTTTTTCACCAAGGGTGACCATAAATTTGCTATTTCCCCATATTACCAAATCTATAACTGTTTTATTATAACGAAACAACTTATTAAAGGCAAATTAATTAATTTATTGATTTCCTTTTACAAATTCAAAGAGCGAAAAAAATACAATTGGAAGTACTGTATGCATCGTCGTTGATGTTATCTTCATTTCTAGCATTCAAGAAGTGTTTTTATAGACTGTTTTCCTACCATATCTAGTCCAATCCACTTTTTTAAGTTCTGCTTAAGACTTGCGTGGACACACGTCACCTCCTCTGAACTTGCTTGACCCTCATTTTCAACGCTTCCGGCATTCCGTTCTGTTAAATAAGTTTGAAGTGAATTTACTGCAGTCTTTATAACAGCTTTTGTATTTACGTTACGTTTAGCGTCCAAAATCTGCTGTAACTCCTCTTAACAACAAAAAAAGGCTGTCATCGGTGGCCATTTTCACTGTTGTCATTTGGTCCTGAAAATGTGACGTCACGAGCGTCGCGGAGAAGGCCCCACCTACCAATGTTTTCATTGGTTGAAAATCTTATAAGCTCCGCCTACAAATATTCATGAGGGAGAAGTCCTCTTTCTGGCAGGGATTAGTCTTTTTTTGCAGGGAGTAGTCCTAATTTGGGGAGGAAGTAGCTCTCAGATGGAGAGATTTAAGTGATTTAAGGGAAATAGCAGATTTTATCGTATTGTTTTTATATAGGGAAAACTCAGTAGAGGTATAATAAAACTAGTTATCATATGTGAAGGATGAAAATGGATTTTACTGATGAAAGGCAAACCTTCTGTTTGAACAATATAAGACATTATGGTTATTTTTTTAGTATAAAGTAATATACATAATCAAAAGATGACTATAAGAATAATTAAAAAACAACTTTGTTTATAGACTGCACACATGATAAAAAGCTGCCCTAAAGCCAACATATAGTCAAATGATTATCATTCCTCAGGGTGTTTAAGCAGTTCATTTGACTAACTCGACTTAACTTACCCCAGTATTGCTGTTTCTGTACTGTTGGCAGTACAACTTGAGGTATAGGTAGACCCTGTAACCACGTTATTGGGAGTACAATCATTCTATAGAACAGCACATCACATGTAAACTATTGGGGATGGAGTTTTAAAATTTATCTGGGCATAATAAAATTGTTTCATATGTCATTCTGGTAGTATTTGAATGAATTCATTTTCATTGCATTACAAAGGGAAACATGATAATGATGCTTAATGATACTGAAATCATTGTAAACCCAACGTTAAAATTGTATATTTTATACACCATAGGTGAAAACAAAGCGACAATTAACCGAGCGTTACAGAGAAACTCCCCAAATCAAATTGAGGACTTGGAGAAATGGTGGCAAAACTCTGACTACCAGAAGCGTGAGGTGGGATTCTGTGCCAAATGGTGCCTTGATAATCTCTGTAAGTTCTCAAGTCAGACAGGTCAAAAGTTACTATAAATCGGGTTTAAAGATCTGTGTAAGCTGAGATGTAATTAGTGCCCAGGGCACTTAAAAATTAATTAAATGGGTCACTTATTAGGTCACCTGGTCCGTACCGTGGCGTCCGTTGTCCGTCCATGCATCAATAATTTCTTCTTCTTAACCACTGATTGGAATTTGACTAAATTTGACAGGAAGCATCCCTAGGTAGTGGGGATTCCAAAGTTTACAAATGGTGGGGGTGACCCCCCAGGGGGCTGAGGGGTGGGACCAAAGGGGACAATAATGCTATATTGATATAAACAACTTCTTCTGTAGAACTATGCGATAGATATTTATCATATTTGATTGAAAGCGTCACTAGGTAGTGGGGATTCAAAATTGTACAAATGATGGGTCTGAGGGACGGGGCTCAAAGGGAGTAATTTGGCTATATTGCTTTAAGCGACTTCTTCTCTGGAACTAAGAGATTGACATCAACCATATTTGTCTGGAAGCATCCCTAGGTAGAGGGGGTTCAAAATTGTACAAATGGGGGGGATGAACCCGAAGGGGGTTGAGAGGCGGGGCCAAAAGGGGTCAATTTGGCTATATTGCTATAAACGACTTCTTCTGTAGAACTATGCGCTGGATATAAATCATATTTGGTCGGAAGCATTCATGGGAGGTGGGGATTCAAAATTGTACAAATAGTGGGGCTGACCCCCACGGCTAAGGGGTGGGGGCCAAAAATAGTTAATTACTTGGAAATGGTTGAGATCCCCACCCTATAACCATATATACAATTGATGACTGTAAAGAGAAGAATGCACATATGTTTCCAGGATGGCGCTGTGGTCTGGCTCCACCCTTGGCGACTTAACCCCTGGGTCATAACTTTGAAACGGTTGAGATCCCCACCCCAAAACTATATATACAATTGTTGGGCATAAAGAGACAGATGCTGTCATGATATTAGAATTGACCCGGGATCTGCCTCTGACCCTTGGAGACTTAACCCCTGGGTCATAACTTTGAAACAGTTGAGATCCCCACCCCAAAACTATAAATACAATTGTTGGGCATGGAGAGACAAATGCTGTCATGATATTAGAATTGACCCTGGGGTCTTGCCACAACCCTAGGGACCTAGTTTCTTAGTCACAGCTTGGAAACAGTTGAGATCCCCATCCCATAATCATACATACCGGTAAACTTGTGCTTGGCATGAACAACCTAATACAGATATGCTACAAAGTTTGGCCTTAGGGTCTGGCCCATATCCTTGGATCTTATAAGGAGAATATTTTGCCATGATTGCTTAGATATCCAGGTGAGCGATACAGGCATTCTGGGCCTCTTGTTATGATAATAAAATGTGAGTTATGATCAAACAAGTTGTGCTACTTCAACGGTTGCAGTATAATAAACTTCTATTGTGGCTGGATCTTTGGTTATCAAATGTTTCATCCGCTTCACAGAAGTCTAGACATCATCACCAGACATAAATCTCTGCTTTAAAGTGTAAGTACTGTATGTAAATCATTCACCGGGCCTGGTCAGTTCTTGGATGGGGAGGGAGTTTATATAATTTGAATTCTTCCAAAAAAAGGGGTATGGGCTCTCATAGAGGGAGGGGGGCTGACAATGGCATTATGGTATGTGAAAGTTCAAGGTGACCAGTTCTGTAAAGAAAAATGTCAGTTTCTGTGTATGCAGCACGTGATGAATGGGAGACATTACCCATGCAATCTCACGAGTTTGGATTCCATCTTTAAATGTTCTGTATTAAGTCATGTTCTCCTTATTTTCCTTTCCTGCTGCTGCTGCTGCTGATTGCTGTTTTCATTGGGAATGTTCAGTCATCACGGAGGTAATAATACATTTAAAAAAAATGAGATATTGAAACAATTGTTACCTGTAACATTATTGTACCAATTATAATGATAATAACTACGTCTTTCTGCTGAGTATGGGAACTTGTCTCGCCATATATCTTACTATATTTGGAAAATAAGATGTTTAATATATATGTTTGATGAAGTCGATCATTGCAGAAAACCCTTTGAAAGTTTCAAATTTTGTTTTCATTCTATAAGTGAACAACTACATATGTTGCATGTTTTAAGCCCAGAGACTTTCTGATACACTGTCATACAAAGCAAAATCTACTCGCTCTGCTATACTTAAGCTTGTAGTGAAGTTTTTAAAATTTCAGGGTCACAAATTTTCCCACGAAGCTGAGGATTTGAGTGCTGTTAATGTGATGTTAAATAGTAATGATGTCAGCGAATACCTCAAGATTTCCCCAGACGGCACAGAGGTAAGCTTTACTACTGTAGCTGATGATGTCAGAAATATGTCGGACATTAAGTCCTTTTGACCTACAGTATTGATAGACCCGGTCTATGTGGGATACGGATATTCTGCCCGAGGTTCTGACCCAATGGTAGATTTTCCGAATCCCACATACCTACATAAAGATTGACTTTTTCTCCCACCTGTAGCCTGAAAATTTGGTAAAGGAGGGTTTGAAGCTAACACATATCTACTAGCAAAAGAATGTTTTAAGATTATCCCTTTTAGAATATCCCTCACTAACAAATCTTTGCAGGCAGAATTTTTCCCTCTCTGGAAAAATACATTATTGATGTTGTATAAAATGTTTGGCAAAAGAAATCCTTATAGTTCTATACACATTTGCTATACGTATCATGTGGGAGAAATCATTGTTGACACTTACAATCTTTCTGCTGGTATTGTAAATTTATGTAAGGGTGTAAGTACTGTACTTATCTTAACATGATTTACCTCCCTTGGATTTTGAATTGCTGAAGATTCCCTGGAATGGTGATTTCAGAAGTTTTCAGTAATATTACTAGTAGATGTGTATCAAATATACAGAAAAAAATATTTTATAAACATGGAGTTGTGAATTATTAAAGAATAAAATGTCCTAGTTTTTTTTGGGATAATTATAAGTGTCCAGAGAACTAACACAAGACTGTGTGCAGGAAACTTTCATCTAGTCAAAGTTTCACCCTTTGCCAATAAATCAATATTTGCACTGTGTTAATTTCGCCTCTCACATTTTGTTACAATGTTTATTATATTGTTGACTAATGTTTGCTATAATGATAAATTCGTCCTCATTGTGGATGGCGAAAAAAGTGAAAAATTAAACTGCGTCGAAAATTTCCCGTTATGCAGTAATCGCGACCATATACTCTTTTCATGTCGATCATGAAAGATGAATACCGTAATAGAAGAAGGATTATTTGTACATGAATTTTAAATTTAACCTCCCTTGTCACTTATTATAGTTATAAAATTTGAGAAAAATCTGCCCTCCAAGTAAGGTTTACATCTGTACAACTTTCAGAAACTTTCATAGTTGGAGTAGAACTGCATATATTAGTATGGCTAATTTAACATGAATGATCTCACTGACTTAGATTAAACATACCAACAGGCTGTGAAGGATTGTGTCAATGAAAATAGTCTTCAATTTATTTGCATGCAATGTCATATTTTTTAAACACGGCCTAGTGCTTTGGATTTGGCACACACACACAAATAGAAATTTAGAATCAAATTTCACATGTTATGTCTGTAATATGTGTAGTTCCTTCAAAATAACACAACTAATTAATTCATTGATTGTCTTGTTTAGTTTTATTTTGATAAAGAGTTTCAAGATTTCCCCCCCAGAAATAACACTTTGTAGATGTGTGTGAATCTTGTCATGCTTGTTTCGTTTACAGGCGAGGAGTGATGCTTCGTCCTTCGAGAGTGTGCGCTGTACCTTCCAGGTGGACTCCGGGATCTGGTACTACGAGGTTACAATAATAACAGATGGTGTGATGCAGATTGGCTGGGCTACTAAAGACAGCAGCTTTCTCAACCATGTAAGTAACTTTTATACATAGGGTCAAGGTGGATCCGGTTTCTTACGTGATTAGGTGAAGTTTTGGGTGTCTCTGTTTATATAGACCCCATTTTACATGGTTTGGGACACAACTTTTGATGGACAATATAAACTAGATCTTGTTTTGAGGCCACCATATCTATCATTAAAGTAGAACCTGTTTTGTGTGGCCCCCTTTTCTGTTTTTGTTGTAAAATCTGTATTTGAGGACCACCACTTCCATCAATTCAGTAGAAATTGTCTTGAGAAACAACGTCACTTATAGAACTTGTCATGTCTACTTAATCTAAAGTTTGCAAACTTAGTAGTAGCCTCATAGCCAGAAGCTATCATAAACGATGTTTGTCTACGATAAGATATCTGTTTGTTAAAGAATACTGATAAATGTGATTGTTAAAAACGACTCTATGTTATATATGGGTTATAGGAAGGATATGGTATCGGAGATGATGAGTACTCTATGGCGTATGATGGCTGTCGACAGCTGATCTGGTACAACGCTGACAGCAAACCTCATGAGCACAAGAGCTGGAAACCAGGTCAGTCTTTCACTTACTTCAAAATGGCAAGGTTGTGTGGTAATTACGTGTGGACCAGTCCAAAGGAGAGGAGGCCAGTATAGCATCACCCAGGACTAACCCTACTAGTTAGTGTAGGTGTCCTGACCTCAGGGTCTTTTACAATCTACCACCTAAATGTGATAACCAAGGTGAAGCATGTTCTTTAGCTCACCCAGTCCAAAGGGTCAAGTGAGCTTATGCCATGGCACAGTGTCCATCGTCCGTCCATCCGTTGTCTGTCGTCCGTCAACTTTTTCCTTTAAAGCAGTACTAGTCCTTACTGGCTTAGTGAATTTTGAACGAATTTGGTATTGAGCATCTTTGGCCAAAGGGTTCTTAATTTAGTATAAACAGAGGGTATGGCTCCCATGGGGGTAGAGGGGTGGGGCCAAATAGGAGGAAAAGAGGTAAATCTTCAAATATCGTCTCCTTCTAAACCAATGAAGGGATTTTGACAAAATCTGTTCTAGTTTGGATTACACATAAAACATTTGGTCATCTTTATAATTTAGCTGTAGTAGAGTGAAACAATATCCTTTAACTGCAGATAACTCAGTGTTAACTTTATTCTCACTTCAGGGGCATGCTTGACCTTAATTTAAATATTCAAATGCAAAGTTACTTCCCTTGCAGTGTTAGACATTTGTGGTTCTGTATATGGAGATTAACAAAATCAGATACGTATAACAAAGCTGCCCAAATATTTTTTGTGTAATCAATAAAACAACTTGAAGTTACTCAGATGTTTAGTTTATTTCCAAAATGGTGTTGTGAAATTTCCAGTTCTTTATCAAAATGTGTCTTCATATACCTTTATCTGCACTTATGTAAATTATGTACTATTTCTTTTGTTTTGGACCGATTTCAAAGATCAATAATTGCAGTTTAGAATTCCTGTTTAGTGATCTCTGGGTCGATGGTTTTGTGATACTTAGCAAAGTAACCAGCCTAATGGAACTTCTCCAGTGTATTAATACTCTGTAATGACATTTTTGTTTAGCCTCCCATCACTTATATTCCCTTAGAAAAGTTTGGTGCTTATGTGAATGATCAAAATCAGCTACGTGGTTATGTAAATGACAAATGACACAATAATATAAAAAAAAACTGCAGTATTACATAAAAGGGACTCGTAAACACCTGATAGATATAAACAGTGCAGAGTCAGAATCCACAGGGAAATAGTCCCTGGCACAGTGATTCTGTCCTCTGGCACATGTTCCTGTGATGACATCCAATGGCACATGTTCCTGTGATTCCGTCCTCTGGCACATGTACCTGTAATTTGTCATCAGGCACATGTACCTGTGATTCCGTCCTCTGGCACATGTACCTGTGATTCCGTCCTCTGTCACATGTTCCTGTGATTCCGTCCTCTGGCACATGTTCCTGTGATTCCGTCCTCTGGCACATATACATGTGATTCTGTCATCAGACACATGTACCTGTGTTTCTGCCATCTCATTTCAATTTTCCATAGTCAGACAGCTGGTTCATTACCAAAGTAAAGGCTGTAAGAAATTTAAGGTTATTTTTAAATCTGCTGTATTTTATAGCTTATTAATGGATGGGAATAACTTTAAACTGTTCTAGCTATAATGATGAGTATCTGTATCACACAGAGAAAGTGTTTATTGCAATGTTATTAGATTATTGTGTTATTAATCTCAAGGTCACAATACATTAAATCTGAAATGATCAGTGAAAAAGAATGTTTGAGTTATAAATTTTGAACCATTGAAAATATCGTGATTATGCATGAAGGATACCTGCATTACCAACCAAAGGTGTGCACTGCGCTATATTTACGTCATGTGAACCTAGTTTTAGGTCAAAGGTCAAATATATGCAGAATTGTAAATAAAATTACTGTAACTTTTAAACTTGGAGATATCATGACGACACCTACATTGACCACAGGGGGTGTAATGTGTAATTAGGTCACGGTGATCAGGACCTTTAGGTCACGGTGAGCAGGACCTTTAGGTCACGGTGAGCAGGACCTTTAACTCCTGGTCAAAGGTCGAATATAGCAAATATACACATTGCCTAAAAATGGGAGACATTTGCACTTATTTAGAAAAAAAAACAAATATCTAGATTTAATTAATCCATTTTGAATGAATTTGCCTTATAAATCTATTTGTATATATATATATGTGTAACCCTCTTAGCCCCAAAGAGCTGCTGTACTAGTTATAGTGTGTCGGCTGACAAAGTCAGACACTGGGTGTATATTAGTGCCGTATCCATAGTGACTGTCCTCTGCTAGGTAGTCATACTCCCTGACCACTGGTAGTCACACTCCCTGACCACTGGTAGTCACATTCCCTGACCACTGGTAGTCACACTCCCTGACCACTGACTTGATGAAGGAACCCTTAAAAAAGAGTAATTTGTGGTGTCTTACCTCGCCCAAAAGGGGGTATAAAAACAAAGTTAATTATATATACCCCAAACCTTGTGGAGGCGGGGGTATAAAAACAAAGTTAATTACATATACCCCAAACCTTGTGGAGGCGGGGGTATAAAAACAAAGTTAATTATATATACTCCAAACCTTGTGGAGGTGGGGGTATAAAAACAAAGTTAATTATATATACCCCAAACCTTGTGGAGGTGGGGGTATAAAAACAAAGTTAATTATATATACTCAAAACCTTGTGGAGGTGAGGGTATAAAAACAAAGTTAATTATATATACCCCAAACCTTGTGGAGGCGGGGGGATAAAAAAAAAGTTAATTACATATACTCCAATCCTTGTGGAGGCGGGGGGATAAAAACCAAGTTAATTATATATCCCCCAAACCTTGTGGAGGGGGGGGTATAAAAACCAAGTTAATTATATATCCCCCAATCCTTGTGGAGGCGGGGGCATAAAAACAAAGATAATTATATATACCCAAAACCTTGTGGAGGCGGGGGGATAAAAAAAAAGTTAATTATATATACCCCTAACCTTGTGGAGGCGGGGGGATAAAAACCAAGTTAATTATATATACCAAAAACTTTGGGGAGGCGGGGGTATAAAACCAAAGTTAATTATATATCCCCCAATCCTTGTGGAGGCGGGGGGATAAAAACCAAGTTAATTATAAATCCCCCAATCCTTGTGGAGGCGGGGGTATCAAAACAAAGTTAATTATATATACCCCCCTCATTGTGGATGCGGGGGTATTAAAACAAAGGTAATTATATATACCCCATACCTTGTGGAGGCGGGGGTATCAAAACAAAGTTAATTACATATACTCCAAACCTTGTGGAGGCGGGGTATAAAAACAAAGTTAATTATATATACCCCAATCCTTGTGGAGGTGGGGGTATAAAAACAAAGTTAATTATATAAACCCCAAACCTTGTGGAGGGGGGGGGATAAAAAAAAAGTTAATTATATATACCCCAAACCTTTTGGAGGACAGTGGTATCAAAACAAATTGAATTATATATACCCCAAACCTTTTGGAGGACAGTGGTATCAAAACAAATTGAATTATATATACCCCAAACCTTTTGGAGGACAGTGGTATCAAAACAAATTGAATTATATATACCCCAAACCTTTTGGAGGACAGTGGTATCAAAACAAATTGAATTATATATACCCCAAACCTTTTGGAGGACAGTGGTATCAAAACAAATTGAATTATATATACCCCAAACCTTGTGGAGGTGGGGGTATAAAAACCAAGTTAATTATAAATACCCCAAACCTTGTGGAGGACGGGGGTATAAAAACAAAGTTAATTATATATACCCCAAACCTTGTGGAGGACAGTGGTATCAAAACAAATTTAATTATATATACCCCAAACCTTGTGGAGGCGGGGGTATAAAAACAAAGTTAATTATATATACCCCAAACCTTGTGGAGGGGGGGTATAAAAACAAAGTTAATTATATATACCCCAAACCTTGTGGAGGACGGGGGTATAAAAACAAAACAAAATTGATGCATATCCTTGCTGCATGGGGTGGAATGTTTACCTCAGTTCTGTGACAAGAAAGGACAACGTAGCAAGATCAGATATGTTGGAGTCATATTCAATAAAAAAAAAATGGTAATAAGATGTTGATTGCTTTCTGACCAAAGTTGTTATATAAACCAGGCTGAATTAAGGGTAGGGTGAATGATCACATGTCACTGACTACTCCTCTGCCCCTTCACCCGTCACTGACTACTCCTCTGCCCCTTCCCCCGTCACTGACTGCTCCTCTGCCCCTTCACCCGTCCCTGACTACTCCTTTGCCCCTTCCCCCGTCACTGACTTCTCCTCTGCCCCTTCACCCGTCACAGACTACTCCTCTGCCCCTTCACCCATCACTGCCTACTCCTCTGCCCCTTCCCCCGTCACTGACTCCTCCTCTGCCCCTTCCCCCGTCACTGACTTCTCCTCTGCCCCTTCACCCGTCACAGACTACTCCTCTGCCCCTTCACCCATCACTGACTACTACTCTGCCCCTTCACCTGTCACTGACTACTCCTCTGCCCCTTCACCCTCTGTCAGCTGTTCGATGTTCCTGCTCACCAATGTATCGTCCAATGCTGAAGTACACTGAATGAAACAAAGCAGCTTCACATCTGTAATATTAAACTAGTAATAACATAGAATGTTACCTCCATTCCATATTCTTTTTGATACGCCTTCCTTATAAGGCAAGGTTAAAAAATTATGTTTTGACCATCAACTTTGGACACTGTATACAGGGAAACTTTTGCTCAGTCAAACATTCGCCATTCACTGATAAAATCTGTGTTCGCTCAGTGTAAATTTTGCTCTTCACTTATAATTATTATATTTTGTATGACTTGTACTAATATTCGCTGTCATATGGGTTGATCGGTGGCAACCAGCTAGCTCAATTGGTAGAGTGTCTGTCTAGAGTTCGGAAGGTCCCGCTTTGAGCCCCAGTCTGGCTTTTGCATTTCTTTTTCTCTTGTTACACAAGTGTTAATGTTATGTGATTCTTAAGTCTTGTGTAGTATACTGAAGGTGTTTTCATAGTATACCCATACCACGGGATTATTACATTGTGATGAATTAAGTCATTGTAAGATTGCGCCGACATTCTGTGGGCCAGGTCTGGTTCTATATGATGTCATACTTATAGATTAGTGGTCGCCGTGGAGCAGTGTTAGTAGCGATTTGTGGCCTGTTAGGGCCTACTTAGACGTGATTAGTCAGGACTGATTACTGGTAGAAAGGTGGTGTGAAAATGACCGTGGGACTCAAGAAAAGCGGTATTTGACGGTCTACATAACCCACAATATTCTCACGAATATTTGAAAATATATCTTTTAAGACAAACTTAGCCGTATATACATGTGATGCTAATAGGTTTAGTACTTTACATACCAGTAATTACCTATGTTGCGACTCAGCGATTTCTGAATTCACACATTTGTAATCAAACTTTGTTTTATTAATTTCAGAGGAAGTGTGGTTGAAATGTACATTACTTATGATAGATCCATTTGGTTTATTAAACTAATGGTTTGTTTGATTTCTATAAAGCTTAACTTCTGTGTACATTATGCAATGTCTTCTTAACATTGAATTCCAGATCCAGATATATCTATACAGAATATTGTCATGTTAATGTTACATAATACAATATGTTTTATTCATACAGACATTAATATGCTCATTTCATTATCCATTTAATGTGTCTTTTATTTGTAAAACTTTGGGGGAAAAACTGGCTGCTACAGCCTAAAAATGGAAAAGAACAGAATCTATAAGTCCAATGACAGATTAATATCTCTGCCGTTATAAAAAAAATCTTGGACAAGTTTCATAAATCTCTTAAGAAATGGAAATGAATGGAAGATTTTTCTGATCATATTACCAAAAACACATGTATAAGCCAGTATTTGTGAGCATTATCAAGTCTTCAGCATTTCCAATTGGACTTCACGTCTAGTCTTTATTGTCCTGATGTCATGTTTCTCGTCTTCAATGTTACGCCATAATAGATGTTATTATTTGAGGTTATATTTAAAAAATATGACATGGGTTTGTTCACTACATAATTCCGTAGTCATGTGATAAATCACCTTTGATCGAGTGCATATGTACCAGGAGTGGGGTATTGTGTAGTTACGATTGTACTAACACATCGAAGTTCTGTCAGTCATCCAGGATTGGAAACAATGGCTTAAAATACAATACAACATGTGTTATGTCTTACACATTTATTCAAACACTGTAAAACTGAAATCAGTCAGGATAACATACACAACATTAACTCAGTGTCTAATGTAAACAAACTTACAAATTTTAAAAAATCGCGACAAAATTGAAGATGTATTTTCGGACAGACCAGGTAAAATATGAACTACTGTAAACATAAAACACACTCAAATGAAAAGAAACTATTCCCATCACTTTCAGTTTAATGAAATGTTTTTTTACTTCATGTTGTTGGGATATTAAAAAAAATAAAACAATTTATATACTTTTTTATTGGAAAATGATTTTTCAAATACAAAACAAAAAAATCTATTAATTATTTTATTTTTTAAATGAACCAAAACAAAATATGAAAATGTTTTGATCAGTAATTTTACTTTTTCTGACTATTTTCTAGAATCTCTATGACTTAAAGCACACTGGTTTATATTGACTATATCACCTTGTACATCCAATCAATAAATAAACAACACCACACCTACGTATTTTGTATACTGGTAACATTATTGCTGGTTTGTTACCAATGACTTAACTCTGACACTCTACATGACACACTTGTGTTTGTAAATCTCCGTGATACATTAACGTTAATTACTCTACCTGTACGGCAGATTAAAGGCTCATCCAGTTAATCTTTTGGCATGAAAACCTCTTTTAACTTACAACTAATTGCAAAAACACGTGTGATAACTTATTGAACATAAAATATCAAAAAACGTAATACTGTACTACACACTTTTGTAAAGTGATACAGTTATTCATGAGTATAAAATAGCACCTTAGCTTCAGGAGGAATGACAAGAAAATCACACAAAATCGTACAGATATTGGTAACGTTATATCACTATTCATCAGGAATTATTTTTAAAAGTTGAAATACATAGCAAAACATTTTCAAGTCCACAAAATAATAATAATTACTTTCAAAATCTGTAAATATTTAAAAGTTATGACTACTTACGTATTTGTAAATATTTCAAAAAATAATGGCTGTTGTGATGACAAAATCAAATGAAGAGAAAGCATGACCATATGTCAGACATAATTGTTTTGCACCTCACAAAAAAATGTACAATTTCCAAACATTGGGTGGCTGAGATCTATTAGTGCTATAACCATCCAAAAGTCTCGTTAAGTCAAAGCTCTGTCGGTAATGATAGGATTTCCCTCAAATATGCAAAAAAAATCCTCCGTGTCAGCAATATTGTAATTGAGTTTGTAACTTAATCAATACATGTATTACTACAATCTGAAAACAGGAGAGCAGTGCTTACTGGTGATGTTATTATCTGGAACTGAAGCGGGTCAAAAATCTTGGAGTCAAAAAATAATCATGAAAATGTCTATGACAATGGCTAGATTGAAAAACAGTTATTTTTTCAGAATCAAATCTATATTGTGGTGTGTATTTAGATATAGGGTTCATTTGTATATGTTGGCATAAACTTATCTGTTAATCAAAATGTATGTTCTGACCTCCTGGCTATTGTAAAATCTAACAATCTTTTACCTGTTCCTTACTCTGTAGATTTCTACTCTGTGCAAATGTACAGAATCACATTGAGTTATGTATTAAAGAAGTGAAATTATATCCATCGCACCATATTGCTGTTTAAAAATATTAGTTGAAATAATATACAAAGTTAATTATGAATTCAAAACAAAAGAAAAATTTCACCCAATTTTGAGATGTCTTGTTAAGGGGTACATATTTAACCAGTGTCTAATGTTAGATCATAACCACACAACACTCTAGGTTGTGTAGGTCACCATGAGTTGTCAAATTGATTAATTCTAGTTTTGAAATTTAGCCAGATGCTGATTAACCAATCACTTAAATATTATTTAATTAGTCGATTGCATGAGAGATAGTACACACAGGTACACTGGTAGGGTATATTTTCTGGGTAGTTTTCGGAAAATACATAAGTATACCTGACTTATACCTGTCTCCAAGACAGGTAACACACTCGGATACACCAGTCAGCTCCAGGGGAGGGCATACGTATTCATACACATTCAAGGCTTGGCACATAGGAGTAAGTTGTGAGGCGTATAGCCACTATAGAGTTACAGGTGTTTGAGATGTCATTCTACACCGTGTCGTGACATTTGAGCTGATATCATAATTGATGAGTCATGTTTGTTAGAAAACTAACTGTATTCCTCTTTTTAACATGTGTCAACAAAAATTGGTGATACAAAGTGAAATGAAGAATAAAACACATTTTTACTGGTGAAATAGACAAGTTTTAGTTATAACTGACAACATAGCAGGATATGATGAAGTCGTACAATCAAATTACGTTATTGAATAACTGATTTATACATAAAATATATATCCTTCCTTTTTAACAATCGTGATACTAGGTATTGACAGAAAATAATACCAGGCAACTTGCCATGAAAAGGAATTTATTTTACTTGTAATTATCAAGATATTTATGTAATGGTATCAATGACTGGTCATTCTGTAGTCTTATTTAGGTATGATCATACCGTTATCATTACCGTAGCCTGTATTCACAAAACTGTTCTCATGCTCAAACTCAGATTCTCTGCTCAAGTCTGATTTCTTGTTCTGGTGATAAATGATTAAAAGTTCACATTTTCTCAAAGGTTTAGAAGACCTAAAGCCGAAAATTGTTTCAAGAGTTATCATTGAATTTATGTGGCATGATTAAAGCACGTTACAAGAAATTTATTTTGAACACAGAATCCATGCTTTAGCTGATGAATGAATACAGGCCAGGATTCTGGTTGTCAGAATGTTGTATGGTCATTGACTGGTCATTTTGTACCTCTTTCTGATATCCTTAGGTTTATAGGATTGACCAGATTTATCGTAGCCTGATTTGCTTAGGTTTACAAGTTGTGAAATTTTCTGACATAGAACAGAACAACACCAGTATCAGTCGCTCAGACTTACCTAGGTACTGTGAGCTTCAATGATAATGCTGATCCAAACGTCCGTCGGTCTAAATTTCCTCAACATTTACATAAGAAATCTACTAAACCTTAAGAATATTTTTATATTTATTAACCTCAAACTGTACACTCAATTGATCAAACACTTTAAACGTCTTTATTCCATCATGAAAACTGCACCAGACTGATGAAAATAATGTTTTTTCCGTAATTCCAGTATTGCGCTGGTTTTAACACTTCCATCTACGATATGGCTGTAATCACAGTGTCACTCTGTCTGTTACACGGTCCCAGAAACCAAAAGTAGATTTGGCTTATTGAGTTGATTTTATGATAACATCACTGTATCAAGATGTTGGATTTATAACAAATTTTATATATATCACAGATTCTGGAGCTGTCACGGTCACAGTTGGCTTTGTATACTGGAATATTTATCATGCTGTCGCCCCAACCATTTGTCCTTCGCCCTCAGCTCCACTACCACCCCCACCTCCTCCACCTTCAAGCTGCTTTTTTAAGTTTTCTACCTCTTGTTGTTCAAATTTTGTACGATTCTTCATTAATCCTTCCACTATTCGCCTCATTTTGAATGTTGGTGTGTGACGCATTGCTCGACTAGCAGAGTTAAGGGGCACATGTGACTGTCGTCTATTTGATAAATCTAGTTTTGTCATCTGTGAAAGAATGAGCTCGCTTGGTGTCACCGCACGTTTGATTTTGCCTTCATCCATGGAAGTTTTAATAAAATCCCACAGATTTTTCTTCTCCTTACCTTCCTTATTGACCGGTTTGACCTTTTCAGGGATCACTGACCTGTCACTCATCCTCGACATTTGATTATTCCGAGCCTCATCTGCAGCTTGCTGCCGTTCCTCCTTTTTAAGCTCCTCCTCTGTTTTCCATTTTTTAGAATTGTCAAGAGGTTTAGAAAATATATTGAGAATAGTGGTGGCTCTGGACTGGTTTGCCATAGACTGGTTTGCCACAACGGGAAATTTACTAGTTTTTGGTGGAGGAGGTTTGACCTCAATGATCACCTCCTCTTCTTCTTCACTCTCATCATCAATTTTCTTATCACACAATTTATAGAATTGCACCAGTTTTTTGTCAAGCTTTTTCTGTTCTTCGATCATCATCTCCTGAGTCATTGGCTGGCTCTGACCCCTCCTCGCACTGCGCACCGACCGCACACTCTCTCGTGTCTGGGGCCGCGATGTAGCTGAAGCTTCAGAAAATTTATCACCAAACAGAAGAGCTCGCAGATCTATTCTTTCCATAAAATCTGAGTCGTCCATGTCGTCGTCACTGTCCTCCCAGGCTGACATTCGACGTGTTGTCACGGAGCGTGTGGAGGCATACGTTTGTGATCTGGTTAAACGATCAGCCACTGAACTTTTCTTATCAAAATCGTCTCGTAAGGAAAATTTCACATGAGAGGCACTTTTCTTTGGCCTTTCTATAGATGGCAATTTAGAATCAAGGTGGTCAGGTCCCTTATTGTATTTGGTTTTTTTCGTAGAAGCTATAGACGATGGTGCAGCAGGGTAGGAAGAGGGAGGAGCCGACTTTGAACTTCGTCGTCTCCAGATTGGCACATGTGTACTTTGAGAATTGACCGACAGAGCTCCTGGAGTTGAGGCTGCTATCCGAGACCTCTCCTCAGCACGCTGTAACTGTTCCTGCTCCCGTAGCTTGTTTCGGGCTTTAGACACTAACGGTGCAGAATCCAAGTCATTCAGTGTACGGCCCCGTAACGGAAACTTCTGCTGTTTGTCTAGATAGTAAGCGTCTTGCATAATGCCCAAACGCTTTTCAGAATTGTTAATTTGTGTAGCATCATAAGTAAAATCCTTTTCTGGTTGAATTCTTTGTTTCGTCTCCAGATCAATTTTCCTCTTGTTGATGTCGAACACTTTGACCTCATAGCGAAGGGCACTCGAATTATCGTGGATTTTCTTCATCTTATGGTTTACCTCGCGCTGAAGCAGGCCGTGTTTGATGTTGAAATGATTGTCACAAATATTGTTCTTGACGCTGACTAATTTCTCTGTCACCGACACTTTCTTTGTGACATCCAGAGCCTCTTTCTGAAGATCTTCAAACGGGTTCACTACCAGTTGCTCCGAGTCCATAATGAAGAAATTTCCTGTAAAAAAGAATTGAACAAATTACATAAAGCAATTACAATGTTGATTTGTTATCATGTCTTTACAAGCAAAAGTCAAAAACCCAGTGTTTCTACTTAACTGCAGCAAGGTATGCCATAGACTACACAATATCAAAATACGTAAAACATCATTTGACAAATTTATTTCAAATTGTCAACTTAAATGATGGAATCACAGGTACTCATAAATCTTTGTTATTCCCAGCTGTGATTTCTGTATACTTACTACCTACGTTAACCCCTGCGTTAGGTTACCATGGTCTGTCACTATCAGGAGAACATTGTAGTTCACAGCACAGGTACAGAAACATTATCAAAAATTGATTATACTGAACATAAAACATAATCTCGGAAGAGTTCGTCTTCAACATAGAAACAATATATCCCTGGAAATGTTGACCAAGGAGTACCACTCGGTATGCCGTGTGATGCAGCACTGTCAGACAGGTGGATCAGAACAGTGAAGTTAAATAACTAATTGATCAGCCATTAGTGAGCAGCAGCTCCAGGCTCTGTTATATCTATAATCCATATGTTGGTCATCACTTAGAGGATTAAAACAGACTTGTAAACTAATCCATTGGTTTATTGGTAAACTGTCACTGTGATAACTGACATGGGGTTGAAAAGTGGCTCAGATCAAACGGTTACCACAACATTCTGTGAATGTGCAATGTTGTTGTGTCGGACTATTAATCAATATTAGTAATTGCCTGTATTTTTTTCCAAGAATTATGTTGCTGGAAAATAAAATAAAATCCCAGATGAAAGTAACTTAATAAATGTTTATTGTTGTAACAGGTAGTAGCCTTTGTATTAGGTTGTTTCACCTATTTTAAGTTACCGGTACTAGTTTTGCTGGTACATGATGTACTAGTTTTGCCGGTACATGTACTAGTTTTGCCTGAACTGGGTAAGCTTCTTTGTAGGAATTAGTGATATCACAACACACTATCATGGCTTTGTGTATCTCTGGTTGTGGATGTTTTGGTAGAGGATTTGGTAAGTGTTACCGAGATTTTCATGTTTACATAATGGATTGATATAATGGTGTACTGTGGCTGTTTGTTTAGTACATTATAGCTGTACCATCATGGATTTTGTGTAGTGTGGGGGGGGGGGGGGACTGTGCTGTGGCGGATGTCAGTACTTCAGTAAAGCTGTAAATGTAATGATTATATAATTATCAATACCATTTGATGGTCTGTCCCAGGTACAGCAAGTTCAAACACTTGATCATAAAGAAAACTTTGTGACATAATTGTTAGCATTGCCTTGGAGATGGTGAGATTGTGTACAGGAACAGGAAGTCGTCCCGCAGCGAACGGGTCAATTATAACCCTTGTGTTGTATTATAACTGTCTTTGTTTTACCGTCGGGTGATTGAAACACTGTATAAAACATGACAGATATTACTTCCTAGTAGGGTGTCTGTCTTTCCATTTAGGGAAAATATTGTAATAATATTCTGAAAATAGGAAATATTTTTTTTATAGTCACTATGCACATATCTACAAATTGCTCATTGACGGATATTTACCCAAAAAGAGAACATATTTTTCTGAATATTAAAGAAAAAGAGGTAACTAGCATAATTACCATTTGTCTCTACCGTTAACTAATAGAAGGATACATTTATGATAAAAATAACTGAGGAAAATGATGAAAATTCCAAGTTTATTGAGAAAATTATTTCAAATTTTATCTAACTGAGAGTGTCCTAAGTTTTTCCAGAGTAAGAGTTGTGAAATGATGTAGGACTTGAAAAAAAATCTGGAATATTTACTATGTAGTTGCCAAAAACCAAGCCCACGAGACAAAACAGATTGGACAGTATAGTCATCCAAACTCCTTCTCTAACGTAGTCCTGTCCCCGTTAATGGTTCCAGTCTCCTCCCTCTCTGTAACCCGCCCCCCACTTCCCACAGTAGTAACAGTGACCTACTTGTAGAGTCCTTGACCTCCTGGATGCTACTTTTGTGACGCATGTCGCTGAGGTCTCCTAACACATCCATTTTGATAAGAGTTCAAGCACAACCTCAGCAGTGTCACGTTTGGGTATCAAACTAGTAGGTAGGGTTCATGGTCAGGTGACCTCGTCAACATTCACTCACAAGGAAAGCTGTTCAGATAATTCCCAATGTTAACCCCTTTTTGAGGGGACTTAAGTGGGCGATCAGCAAAATGGCTCTATGGCCAGTTCAGACAAATTTCTAACATGATGGCAGACTCTGGCTGGTCTTTGTTCTGAAACTCGTTTGTATTTTTGCCAATGGAATTCCAAGTTCCCACATTTACTGTGATGTTCTTTTAAGATTGATACTCCTTGTAGTACTGATATAATTCCTGATAAATCCTTTGAACTTTCAAAACTGGTTCTAAATGACGAGAAATGATCCACTAAACATAATTTCAGAAACACCAGACAGACGTTTAATGTGGTTTAGTTCCAAAACATTTAAGTTATTGAGACATTTAATCATAAGCAGCAGCATTACTGATAAAACGCTGAATAGGTCATTCCAACGGAGTTGTTACGCATGGTCGTTTATACACCGTGAGCTAAGGCAGGTCTTACTGTAGACATCCAAATGGACAGTTTTTATGTGTCATCCTCAAAGCTTTCATCTGGACTGGACAAAGTGGGTCAAACAATGAGGACTGTTTCCACAGTATACAAACCTCAGGTGTTACCCTGAGTCCTTGTCTAAACCGAAACAGATTAAAAACTAGGGTGTAAAAAACACCGGTCCAAATGAAAACAAAACCTTAAAGTTCTGATGTTAATCTGTCTCCGGACTTAATCTGGGGATTAGCAGGATTATATCTCGCTTTGTCAGTGGACACTACTAAAGCCAGGCTGGTAATTGATTTCAGGAACAAGATTATAGCTAGGGAGGTCTCTCAGTAAGTAAGAATGTAAACAGAAGGTTTCCTTATCTCATTTTAGTCTGACTGTCATTACATAAGGATCACTGTCTTCAAATTACATAGAAAAATCAGAGACATTGTACTTCAATGAGAGTGATTAAATTACCGTCAGTTACACAATATCAAATTAACCATTAATTGTATTGACTTAGAGCCATCATATACATTGAGCAAATAACTAGTCTACATGAGAGTACAACTTAAAAAACAGAAATAACATTAAACAATGTTACAACACCAGGGTTTCTCTGAACACAAAGGAAAATATTGAAGTTATACAGATTAAGAGATAACAGTGTTATCCCAATATTAAATACTTAAATATGGATCTTTTAGTGATTGCTTTGAGCTTGGATAATTTCCCTGGTATTTAGATATAGCTCGAGAAATTCAACATGTATAGCTTCAAAATTTAATTATAAATTTAAGGTGTTAGGCGTGATCTAAAAATATAAGTAAAGTGTGGTCCATATAAGTAAAATTGATTCATATCAAGGTCACCTTTTAGTTTGATTAAATCCCTAATTACTATTTCCAATGATCAGAAAATACTTAAATTTCTGAATTAGTCACATGTTGAATATTGTGTTTCATTAAAATAGTGATTTGCTTACATTAAAAAATAATGTTCCATTTAATAAACCAGAATTACATTAAAAAGGTCATTAAAAAATGTATATGAAGATTTTATTATTTCAATTAACAAAAAATCAATTATCCTGGTTTATTACTATTTTCTTTCATTTTGACGCTATTTGTATGTTAATAGATCTGATCAGTGTATTTGTACAGTCTACACTGGTATGTGTGTAGTATAGTATGATCAGTAGCTCAGGAAGGATTTCCAACTGTGAATTGTAATGCATGGACATAAGGTATTTATTTAAGATTGAATCCTGTGGGTCTTGACTGTGTCTTTGTAACAGATATTGACGTGTAGAGCTATCTGAATTCAGTGATTACCATCTAATTACATGGCATACAGGTGATAGGCCCTACCTGTACAGGTACGTCATACACAGCTAGCCTAGTCCACGGGTGGTGTAACCAAACCCACAGGTTTAAACTCGCTAATTTTCTACTGAACATTATCATAACCATTGAGGAAATAAACTGGGCAGTGAGGATCATGCATAATTAATAGCTGTATTCAGGCAGTACCTTGGATAGGTTTTAAGAACTAGTACCATTATTGGAAGCGTCTAGTACAGGTATAGAATTAATACATAAACTTCAGTATAATTGTAGGTAGTAACTGGTGAAGGCAAGGAAAGCAAAGCTTCCTTTCAAAGGATCCAACAAGTATCATAGGGCTTCCAGGTAGTCATTTCTTAGTACCAGTCATAGTGCAGTTACTCAATGAAAGTAAAACAGTTTCACCTCTTAGCTCATTTCATCACATTGAGATGTCCTATCTTATTTTGTAGTCCCTTCAATATCCATTACATTTATCAGTTCCCTGACAAGTTTAGGTTAGAAAAAATCATTACATATTGAAAACAAATGTAAATGTGCTGAAAAATAGAAGAGTTCTTCCAGACATTTTTTTCTATATAACTCGCTACTTTCCAGATAATGATAGCATTGTTATTACCATATTATATCACAATATCAGGTTGTGGTTTTTAATTTAATAAAAAAAAAAAATATCAAAAGAGAAATTAGGTTTTAATGACAATTCTTTTAAAAGTCATTGTAACACTGACTGAACAGAGTGAATTTTGTCATTGGAGCAAGTAAGAATGGTTTAATAACGGATGCATTTTGAATTTTTAAGATACCATTAAAATATAAAATAATGTTAAAACATAAGTCTATAATTGTGATCAGCATGTTACCTTTGAATAGGTCCATGTTGTTATCAGTACTCGGGTATAAATAGTATCATCCCTGTTGGAGTGACTGTTAGAGTGACATCAGATCCTTCACTAAATCTCAAGTCCATGCTAACATTTCCTTGTCATTGAGAACTACCACCACCCTGTTGTCCTGTACCTAGGATGGCTGCTCTGCCCGCTTATTGTTGGTCCATACAAGGTTAGGATACGACAGGCTACTCACCTCTCTAGCCATTGTCTGAAACATTTCTCTAACAACTCTAAGCTGCTTTATGTGGAGATTACTGATGCATTACTAACCCTGCTGCACCCTGTAAACATGTGATCCCAGCGCAGAATGATTTGAAACTTTGTAAGATTAAAAGTCACTTCAAACCGTAAAACCAACTTCAAATTAAGAGGTATTGTAATTTATAGTTATCTGTACTTTTATGGGTGATACTGTTTGTGTCACATGACATTTTAGTAAGATCTTACTTTACAGGTGTCAGTCACATGACATTCCAGTAAGATCTCACTATACAGGTTTAAGTCACATGACATTTCAGTGAGATTTCACTAAACAGGTATTGCAAGTAGAGATTTTGTACAAGGATTTTCTTCTTGATTAAAAAATATGATCAGCCAAAGGGAAAAAACTTAATTGCTAAAACTATTGTTCAACAGTCATACATACCCGACTGTGTCATGTTGTGTTGAGTTGCCATGGTTTTAGAACAGATTTATATCCCAGATCTCAGAATAGACATATTTGACCTATTTTAAGCTTGATCTAGCAGTTATCACAATGAAAGCTGCACTGTTTACATATTGTCTTCCAATAGATGCACTGTTGAATTACATCAGCCTCCCAATAGATGCACTGTTATATGTTTGTATGTGTTCTGAGTGACCAAGGTAAGCCATCACCTGAAAGTTTCCTGTTCACATGGTCACTACAAGTCACGGTATTGACCACCAGGCGATCATTACCTCACTTTCAGCTGATCAATACTCCAAAGTAACGACTAACAGTCTCAGAAAGCCTCTCCAGTTAACCCACGGAACATCAGGAAGTCAAAGTAATTGTCCCAGCAACTTAACTCCTACAGAAGTTCTCCTATCAAAGTGTTTGGTAAATCATTGGTTAAGATACTTTTCTTCCTGTTCAATGATTCATTTGGCATCTATGAAACAAAAACCCTGTCTTCAAATAGTGCCCTCAGTTATATTTGTACAACTTTTCTTTCCAATAAATGGCTGATTGCATCCATGAGATTGAAATCCCGTCAACATTGTAAGCCAGAATGATATTAAATGTGCTGTCATATGATCTGCTGGCATCCAATAGGTATAATATTTAAATATTACCTGTATTAGATATGTTTAGGTTGTAAAGCTCACTAATGGTCCAAACTTATTATAATTTGTAGTGATAATAAAAATCCAAATCCAGTCTAATTAACATAACTTCCAAATCCGGGCTAATTAACATTGTATCGCACATAAACCTTGGCCTTCCAGCGTGCTCCTGTAGAACACTGTTCAACAGACGGTAAAACAGTGGTTTGGACAGGTGTGGGTTATGTCTAGATGTTTTCCCGATACAATATGGCAAGATTTTGATCTGTGTGCTCATAGGAATTAAGATTACCATCACCAAAGTCTTAATCTAACTTGTTTACTCACAAAACAAGTTATGTATACACAAATTTAGCTATTTAATGTGTATCAGTGGAGCCCGTAAACATGGTTTAACCGAATATACACATAAGTAACAATTATCTACTGTTAGTGATTAATTTCTTATAATTGAAGCCATAGAAGGCTGTTCACGGGTAGATGATCTTCAGCAGTGGGTACTGTGTATCGGCCATCTACATTCACTCATTACACACTAACGTTACTGGTCAAACCCTTACAGCTTATCTCTCTGATGGACCCGATTGTGGTAGTATAGGAACACGGATCAATCTGTACAGTTTCCACCTACCATACATGTAGCTAAGCATACAGGGTCCAACTTGGAGATGACTTACCATACATGTAGCTAAGCATACAGGGTCCAACTTTGAGATGACTTACCATAATTAACCATTGCTTGCATGTTAGCTGTTCTTTTAGCTCACATCAGTATATTATTTTGTGAGAATGTTTCAGTAACAACCATTATCTGTAGGACAGGACTTCCTCCTAATGTGTGCTAACAACTCATACACGTATGATTAGATTCAGCACAGGTAATTTCTTACATGTTACGAAATCCGATGAACCAGTGAGGTTTTCTGGCAGTGGAATTTATCTCTGTTTGATCACAGCGAGCGTAGACAATCTAAAGACTTTTATAAACAAAGATGAAATGACAATATTGATTTACACCTGTAAAGAGTGTTAATCCTTCTAGTCCTTGTCAGCTGTCTCTGTATACATGTTAAACATCTAGGACCTACTAGGTTTAAGCTGCATTCTAAAACTTATTTGTTTAAGATTTCCAGTAGCATTCTGATACCTTGTTTCAATCTTTTTATTATCCAACTTTCTTGGGGGTCCTAAATGTTGGAAATACATGTCTCCATTGAGGGCTTCTTAGGAGAAGGTTATCAAACAAGTGTATGTGGGTAGTGGTTTGTTTGGTCAAACCAGGATAATAATGAACTTCAGATTACAACTTAATTAAGTATTGATGTAATGTAGGAATGAGGGTCAGTAATATGATCCCTGAAGTGTATTTTACAGTATTGATACACATACCCTGGTAACTATGTAAGGCTAGACCTAATGTACATAATGTATATTACAAATTATAGTTACATTGAAATCATTTTTCTTCTGTCAATAGAAAAAGATAATTAAAATCAAGATATAATTTCCCCTCTTCTTTATTTTATGCAAATATGTAAATATATTTATCCTGTAAAAATGTTAGTGATTTAAATTATATAAACAGCAGATGGCACAGCACTATAACCTTACCAAGTTTACATGGCATTCATACCAGTCATAAATGCCAAGGCCCATGTGTTAGTCATGAACAACATGGCCCATGTGTTAGTCATGAACAACATGGCCCATGTGTTAGTCGTGAACAACATGGCCCATGTGTTAGTCGTGAACAACATGGCACATGTGTTAGTCGTGAACACCATGGCCCATGTGTTAGTCGTGAATACCATGGCCCATGTGTTAGTCATGAACACCATGGCCTATGTGTTAGTCATGAACATCATGGCCTATGTGTTAGTCATGAACAACATGGCCCATTCGTTAGTCATGAACACCATTGCCCATGTGTTGATGTCATCATTATGATGTCATATTTGTAACAATGGAACCACTGACCTCCCTTTAAAGATGACAGGTTTTTTCATTGAGGTTAAGGGTACCACTTCATCGGTTCTAATCACAAAGAAGAGTTCCACTCAGAGTTGTGTTTTTTCATGGAGTAATCTCCCTTTTGTATAGAAGATGAAGCAGCCTAATGGAGTTTCTCTGGTTTAGATGACTTCCCCTGTCAAGTTATATCTCTTTCAATGTTCATTAGTTATAGGTATAGTGGCAAAAGAAGTGTGGAATTTGCTGTGTTTAAAGTCCTGCGTTCAACCCCTGTGACTTTTCTGTTTTTATTTTTTTAATTCTGTAAAATGCAATGTAACTAACTAGTATGATTTTGAAGTAAGTTAAAATAAAAGTACATGTATTTATAAAATATTGAATAAATACTGAGCGTATGGCTGTAGAATTTTCACAGCTTTCTGAAATTTAATTTAGGGCTTGTAGATTTCATCAGTGTGTAAACTGCAGTTATTGAATATGAAAATATACTGCCACCCTGGTAAAATACTAGCCACTTCCTACTGACTGGGGTAGGAGAGTTTCTCTTTAGCTCATTCAGCCGAGCTTAAAGACTAGTAAACCAGAGGTCCCGGTTCAACTCCTAGCGGAGGCATTGAAAAAAATACTGATCTCAGTTACACTGGCACCTACATAGGGACCTGGGAAATACTGATCTCAGTTACACTGGCACCTACATAGGGACCTGGGAAATACTGATCTCAGTTACACTGGCACCTACATAGGGACCTGGGAAATACTGATCTCAGTTACACTGGCACCTACATAGGGACCTGGGAAATACTGATCTCAGTTACACTGGCACCTACATAGGGACCTGGGAAATACTGATCTCAGTTACACTGGCACCTACATAGGGACCTGGGAAATACTGATCTCAGTTACACTGGCACCTACATAGGGACCTGGGAAATACTGATCTCAGTTACACTGGCACCTACATAGGGACCTGGGAAATACTGATCTCAGTTACACTGGCACCTACATAGGGACCTGGGAAATACTGATCTCAGTTACACTGGCACCTACATAGGGACCTGGGAAATACTGACCAAAATACCTAGCACTACATACTTTCACAAGAATCGCTAGGACCCCTGGAAAACTCGGGAAGAGTTCTTCCTGGAGGGGGATTATGTCACCCTGGTAAAATACTAGCTGCTTACTACCGACACATGTGTACAGTTTGGAAGAATTTCTCTTTAGCTCATTTGATAGAGTGTCAGATATGTTGACCAAATGTTTCAGGTTTTACCCCAAGAGGAGGCATTGAACAAAATTGATAACCTCTATTACAATATATAAGTCATAATAATTAATTATTACTTGTGGGATATCTGGTTTTACTCTTTCACATTAGGAAGAGAAAAGCTCACAAATTGGGGAAAATTTGTCTTTAAAACAATATGTCACAATGAAAGTTCTGAAGTGTATGAAATTTGTAGAATAAGAAAACAGATCAATGGTTTATTTTAATTCTACCATCATTCTTACCTGACTGTTCTATAGGAGAAACTATGGAGTTCTCAGATAGAAGGGCATCAAACGAAGACATGCTGATAGTTTTTTACACACTTGTTTCCCTAAAAGATAAATGTTACTATATCATATTGATGATGACGAATAAGTTTCATATCTGAAAGTGTCCTCTTCAGTAGCGTAGCTTTAATATCCAAAGCATTAGGATAGGTTTAATATCCACAGAACAAGGCTGTTTAGTATCCTCCGAGGTAACACAGAACAAGGCTGTTTAGTATTCTCCACGGTAACACAGAACAAGGCTGTTTAGTATCCTCCACAGTAACGTAAGTCCATTATTTACACTTTGTGTCCACAAAGGATCATCATTTGTAAAACTTAGATTAAAATTAGTGAAACAACGTATCCAACAATCTGTGTGTTCTGTAGATCATGCGCTCCGTCTATCACACGTGTTGTGTCAGCGCGTGATTAGTCCTTATTGTCTTTAGAATTAAAAGATAAATAGGTTTCTGTTAAACCCTTTCTATCTATTAAATATCCTTCTCCATTCTGGTAATGCACTCTTTACAAATTGTATGAGGAATATTAAATGGCACTAAAGAATAGAAGGGGTTGCTATATATTGAGACATTTGGTAAAGTGATGTATCTTGTTACTAGTTGTTAGGCACCGATAGTCTTATTCTGTAGATCTGATGAACTGCTTATAAAGCATTGTGTCCTCAAGACTTAGAGGTAATTGTTGATAAGACGGTAGTAAGAAATCTTTTGTTGGCCCACCAAACTGATCTATGATATAGCTCACTTAAACATTTAAATGTATTTGTTTTATAATTACTCAGTGATCCTCGCCCTGGCCGTGTAGGCAGCCCTGGCACACACCAGATCCACCTGCCACCATATTGTTGATATTCTATTAACGCAACAAGGATCAAATAACCATGCATGGCTTTGGTGACACTAGGTTTGAATTTGTGACACTAGGTTTGAATTTGTCATCCTTTGAAATAATGAATTATAATTCTGTATCTATATCTGACTGTTACCAGGGCGGGCAACACTATCAATGATAGTATTATTCTTGAATTATTTTTCCTTTTGAATACTGGGGTGTGAATGTGGAAGGTTAATAAGTGTTAACAAAGTTACCAAGGAATCTAATATGGCAAAAATTGTTATAGAATTATTTTTTCTGATATTATCTGGGTGTCATAGTAGCTGGATTTAACAGCATGTCACCATATACACATTGTCATTAGACATTAAGTCACTATGGACAAGCAGTCACTTTGAACAGGTTGTCAAGATGAACAGGTTATCACATAATAAACAAGATTTCAGTGTATGCAGGTTGTCACTATCAAAAGGATGACACTGTAGACACTAGGAAATACATAGCAGACAGGATAGTGCTCTTAAAAATGGCCCCTATACAAAATAGGTACCTGGCATGTATGTTGTTTTAACCCCAGGCTTCTTGATGAACAAGAGTTTCAAACATTTAACAGTGATCTAATACCAGTAGCCTGATACTGAATGTCAATGCCTAGCACTTTCAAACCTCAGATCACACATTATTGGAGGCTAGAACAGCTGAATGTCAATGCCTAGCACTTTCAAACCTCAGATTGCACATTATTGGGGCTAGAACAGCTGAATGTCAATGCCAAGCACTTTCAAACCTCAGATTGCACCTTATTGGGGGCTTGAACAGCTGAATGTCAATGCCTAGCACTT